CTTCTCATAGCGTTCGGTTGCCTCTGTTAGCTTCTGATAGCTTTTGTTAACTTCTGTTATAACTTCAATACAATTTTACAAATGATTGCTAGTTATACACATTGTTCTATGATGACTAGACCCAATCTATTTGTATTATATTTATTAGAAGTTAACTGAAATGCATCCTCTGGAAGCTTCTTCCATGCTTTTTAAGGATGTTTGGATTGAACTTGGTTATTACCAAAATAAATTAACAAACTCACGAGAAAAATCTCAGACATTATCTAAGATTAAGGTTACAAAATTAAATTAAAAAAACACATTTTATGTGAAGTAACCTCACCCTTTCACCACTTTAATCGGATATTAAAAAATTCTGAATTTACCCTCTTTTCTCCTGCTTTGTCTCTATGATCCCAAGCTGCTTCACCACCAGTTCTACTAAAATACTTTTAGATACACTTTCATGTATGTAAATTACAACTGGTAGATTATGAAGTACTTTGTAAGGAATCTAGTTTCTTTAAAGGCAGTTTGTGATTTTAAGGCTGTTTCAGTGAGACTCATTTGACAGATTTGTGCTCAATTCTCTCACAAAGGCACTTTAAGGATGAAATATTAAAACTAGAAAATGAAGGTCTAGAAAGATTTTCTTTAAGAATGTGACTCTTAAAGGTCCCCTATTATACTGTTTTTCATCAATATATCACAGGTCTCAGATATATACAGAACCTGTCTCTGATTGGCTGAAACACCAAACAGATCATTGCAGCATCCCATAATCCCCTCTGTTTCAGCCCTGTTTCCAAAGTGCTGATTCTCTGTCTGTTACTTTAGATGAAAATAAGGAGCCCCTCCCCACGCCCCTCTGAGAGAGATTTGGTTACAAAGAACACAATGGTGCTCTAGGAGGAGATTCAGGTGATAAGGGGGGGGGGGGGGGTTACCTTGGTTGGTGATTGGCTAATGGTTACACAAGCCAACAAATCGTTATGACATAAAGTGGCCAAAATCTGATCAGCTCATTTTCAGACAGGTTTTTATATAAATGGATCGGGACAAAAAGTGGGCTAATCTTTCTTCCTGAAACTTTCAGAATCTCTTTCCACAGAGGGGACACGTGTTGATGTATAAAAGATGTGGATTTAGCATAATAGGTGACCTTTAAGTTTCAGTGAGACTCATTTGACAGATTTGTGCTCAATTCTCTCACAAAGGCACTGTAAGGATGAAACCTTAACACTACTCGAAAATGAAGTACTTGGTCTAAATAGATTTTCTTTAAGAATGTGACTCTTAAAAGCACTTTGTGATTTTAACGCTATTTCAGTGAGACAATGCAGTTTTGTTTTTTGAAATTAAATTCAGGGGGATTTTTGCAAAATTACAGATTTCCGGGAACTATCCGAGAATCAAACCTCTAGTCCAGGGGTGTCCAAACTGCGGCCGGCGGACCATTTTGAATCGGCCCTCAGCAAATTCAAAAAGTATAATGACTTAAGTATAATACACTGCTTGTCTTATATTGTACTTCTTAAATATATATGATCAATTATATTACACTGTATTCATGTGTTAATAAGCCCAATTTTCAAATAAATTCAGTCAATTAGAGTTGAAAACATGTTCTAACAAATCATAGTTGACAAGAAAAAAGCCCAATGACTTATTTACATAACAAGCTTGAAATACACCCTTCATATTTCCTCTTATCAGCAATCTCAAGCTCTGTTTTAAGGAATTAACTGCCAACAGAATACATGAAACCCTCTGGAGAGCTGTGAGGTAGGCTGTTTTTTACTTAAAGCATTTTCAAGTATCAAGAATAATTTACCAAATTGTTATAATTTGTCCAACTTATAACTGAACTTATGAGGCAGTATACATCTAGTGAGTGGCCCAGCCCTTCGTATATTTTTCTGTATCTGGCCCTCGGTGAAAAAAGTTTGGACCCCCCTGCTCTGGTCATAATTCATATATCTTCAGTCAGGTCAACCAAAGCAATAACTCAAGTCCACAATCTCTGGTTGTTCGTATCAAACTTTCATTTATTGTGTATTTTCAGGCGGTTGTGTCAATGAGAACTATTTTTCCTCAGACAGAAAAACAATGTGCCTTGTGATTACTTCAGGGACCTTTTCAGGAAATTGTGTGTGTCAACAACACTTGTTTATCACACAAACGGACTATTTTGACACTCTTTACAACAGTTAATATTCAGACACAGAGAACTCGTCCACACTGAAATTTAGGCATAAATAACACTTAGATATCTTCCATAAATATTTCTCTTTACATATATTTATTTTCTGTTTTACGATCACAATGGTCCTTTCAAAAACAAAAAGCAGCAGCAAAGAAAATATTTTTTATATTTCCGTCCATTTCAGGTGGAATAAAACATTCTCAGTGTAGCACCAGACAAAGTATAAAATAAGTTAAATAGTGGAATAAATAAAAAAACAACAGTGTATGAAATATCCCCCTCCCAAAGCAAACAAACACAAGTATAAAGTTCCAGAAAGGCACTTAAGTTTCATGAAGTCCAACGACAGATGCAGTAAAGGCTTTTTTGAAATAAAAAGATACCTTCTATGAATTTAAAACATATATTTTTTCCCTTAATGTTTTGATTTGTAATGATTTCTGACGTCAGATCAGTCCAGTTTCTCCTCTTAATGGTCCCATAAGTTTGGCTGTTAAACACTCTTAATTTTCCATTGGTGACCTGAATGCAGCATCAATCCAGGAGGCTGGTTTATAAAAGATACACAAACAAAAACTAGACAGAATATAATTATAAAATACTATTCATTAACCATCTGATTACACCTCTGTCATATTAAGTCTAGTTTTATATGGAAGACTAGAGCTGCTATTACAACAAATACATATGATAATAAAGAAAGACATGTGGAAATAAAATCCTGAATCAAGAAATGTATTTTACAAATTAATTTTTTTTGTATTTAAATATTTCCCTTTTTACATTAATGAAGTTTGTATTTATTTCCTTATTTATTTCTTTATTTCTTCTTATGATGGTGACACTAAACCGCTATAGATGAGTGACACCTACGTCATTTCTGGGCGAAAAGTACGGCCCCGCCCACTTTTGGGGGAAAACAACGCTGTCATTTGAATGGCGGTCAATACAAATTCTGAAGTTTTTGCCAATCCGATTAGAAATTTAAGAAAACCGTTGATTTTTGGATCTTCATAGAGCCAGATTACGATGGCCAGTCAGGCAAACAATTACATTAAATAATTGGAAATCGACGATCGGTCTCGATATATGGTTAAATTAAAATCAGTAGGCGAGGCCGTCATTTCTCCAGCTGTTACTCTCATGAGCGAGGCGGAAAATAATAGTTTTATCATGCCAACAAGCTGCTGTGTCATTTAGTGCACCTCAAACATAAAAAAAAATCCAGAGTTACATTTTTCTGTACTTCCTCTAAGAAGAACGGACAGTGAGGCCCAATCCCAAACCACTCCCTCGACCCTACCCCTCCGTGGCGGAGTGAACTCCGTCTGTAGCCACACTCGCAGCTCAACGAGGCTCCCTCCTGTCAGATGGAGGGAGTAAATACAGCGGCAAGCTTTGGGACAAACTCCCCTCTCTCCGGCAGAAACAGGAAATGCCGTAACTGTATGTATCAACGGTTTCAAATCAGCATCTCTTAGACAAAAAATGTAAATTAAGAACTCAAATAAAACTCCAAACATCTTTCATTGTGTTACTTTTCTGTAAAGCTCTTTTAGTTTTAAACCTGATGTTTATAAGCTTCTTAGTTTTTGCAACAGTCTGTAAATATACACAACTTTATAATAAAGTGCACACATTTACCTTTTTCTAGACTAAACACAGGTATGATCCTAAGTTAAAAAAATATGAGGTTATCATGAGGTTGTTAACATCTCAATTTATCAGTGGATGTTTGCTGGAACTACTTGTAAACAGCGTGTTTCCTGACGGACACACACAGCGTGACTCCGGTCAGGTAGAGACCGGTCTCCAGTCAGCACCGATGCAGACTCGCTGTTTGAGGGCTTGATAGACCACTCCCCCTCCACACCGCTCCACACTCGTTGGTTTGGAACAGCACTTAATGTGGCGGACCCTCCGCGCGAACGCGCAAACGGAGGGGTAGTGTGTAGGGTGTAGGGCGTGGTTTGGGATTGGGCCTAAAAGAAGAGCTCTGTGGCTTCAGGCTTGATCGCCATTCAAATGACAGCGTTGGTTTCCCCCCAAAAGTGGGCGGGGCCGTAAAGTGACGTAGATGTTACTCTCATCTGTGGACATCGATCGCCTACTGCTATATTTAACCATATATCGAGCCCGATCGTCGATTTCCAATGATTTAATGTCATTGTTTGCCTGACTGGCCATCGTAATCGGGCTCTTTGAAGATCCAAAAATCCACGGTTTTCTTAAATTCCTGATCGGATTCGCAAAAACTTCAGAATTTGTATCGACCGCCATTCAAATGACAGCTTTGTTTTCCCCCAAAAGTGGGCGGAGCCGTCATTTTTGCCCGGAAGTGACGCATGTGTTACTCTCATGTATTGGTTCATTGATAGATAAAGTAATAAAGATATGTAGAAATAAAAGCCTCAATTATCAAATAAGTGTGCACCTGGTTTTTAAATGTGTTTTATTTACTTATTTGTTTCTGTAAATAATAGATAAATATTAAGATTTGTCAAATAAATATACCAGTTGTAATTATTTCTAATTTAGATTTCCAAAATAACACATTTGTTAATTAAGGCTTTAATTTCTACGTGTATTCATTGAGTTATTTATGTATTGCAATGGCAGCTTTAGTCCTCCATAGCTATCTGAGCTTTCATAAGTATTTTTAGAAGATATATATTTAATTTCTAGTATGAACATTTACAGCAGCTAATAACCATAAACAGTTTGTAATCAGCTGTTTTTTTCTTCATTCAATAACAAGTTAAACAGAGACACCAAATGTATTTTCACATATTAAATATTTTCGGCCCCAAAATAGACTTGATAAATGAATTTATCCACAATGATTCATAAAAAATAAAACTTCATACATCTGACAAATACAAATAGATATTTACGTCTTGTGTGCACACAGATTTTATGCATCTCGCTCCGGGGAAATAACGTTTTCTGTGAAAATCCCAAATGTTGTTGTGTTGTCTTCAGGTTCTCGTCAGTTGTTTATTTTCAGGGTCATTGTTTGGCTGCAGTCAACGTTTTTTCTGCCTGTTCTCCAGCTTGTAAACTCTGTTAGCGAAGGTTGAAGGTCGCTGGTTCGATTCCCTCTGGATCCACTTGTGTTAAGGCGCTCAGACGACAGGAAGCTGCGTTTTACAGACATTTCCACACGAACACGCTGCAACACACAACACAACAATCAACACACATACTGTACGAAAAACAATACTATGATATTTTTCAGATTTTAAGCCTTTTTTAATAAAACATTTCGACATCATGACTAGGATGAGTTTACCTGCAGTCGTCTCCTCCGGTGCTGATCACGTATTTGTCTTCGTGGGAGAAGCGGATGTTTGTCACGTGAGCCGAGTGGCCGAGGTAGCGCTTGTGTTTGGCCTGCAGACAGAAAAAATACTCAATAAATGATATCCTTACCCTCAATCAAGATCTCAGGTATTTGTTCATGTTGAGAATACTTTTAATATACTCTATTATACTACCTTTTAATTCAATACAATACTATGACTTTTGATGTATTTTCTATACTAATACAGTATAGTAGACTTTCCTACTTGTATTGCAAAGCTATTGCCACCAAATAAATGACGATTTTAGTTTTAGTTTTATTTGCTCAACTGTGAGAAACAATATCAAAACACCTCCTGAATGGATGAATGTTTTTCCTGTGATGAAAAGTCATAAAAGATGTTCACCACCTTCCAGCGGTCCTGACTGTATTTCATTGAAAACACGATACACTCACAAACTTCTCTGTGCAGGGGAAGTCGAACAGTTTGACCAAACCGAAGTCGTCTCCCGTGGCAACGTTCAGGCCGCCGTGAGACACACACGCACAGCTGACCTCCGCTTTGTCTGCGTTTCGAGGCCAAATCCCCAAAACTTCATCTCCCAGGATGCTGAGGGAGAGACAGGAAGTGTTGTTTTTTAATACATATATATAAGAAAATGAACCTGTAGATTATCTATTTGTGTAGTTTAAATACATGTTTATTCATTACGCACAGTATTCTTAACATATATAAAATGCATCCTGTTACATTTATCATTTCTCTGGGCCATTGTAGCTTGTTTTGAATATGTACATTTGTCCAAAAATGTGTCATGTTAAGGTTTGAGTCACTTTAATCGTTGTTTAGGTGAGAAAATTATTTTTTGCCATATTTTCTCCGACATTTTATGATTTCTTTATGACTTTTTCTGAAAGTTATCCAATTCGTATACAATGACTTACTGTAATATGACTTTTTTTCTGACCTTTCTGTGAGGTTTTTTATCATAATATGTAAAACAGTTTTAGATAACATTAATGTTTCATCATATCTGATATGTTAAATGAAATGTGTGTGTTACCTGGTCCAGGTTGCCCAGGTGATTCTGTCGATGACGGTCTGGTCGCTCACCGACTTTCCCGAAGGAACCTCAAACACCTGCCGCTTATAGGCTCCTGTGGACACCTGCAGACACACACACACACACACACACACACACACACACACACACACACACACACACACACACACACACACACACACACACACTGTTAACACATATTTCTGTGGATTTTCTTATAAAGATAATACAAAAGGTGAAATAATCAGACTTTTAAAAAAACAAACAATTGTCAGGTTGTTTGTGCGTGTGCGTGTGTGTGTGTGTGTGTGTGTGTGTGTGTGTGTGTGTGTGTGTACCTGTATGTGGCAGCTGTCAGCGGAGAAGTCGAGCTGCAGGATGAAGGCGGGCAGGTCGCTGCAGTAAACCAGCCGGCTGAGAGTGGGTCCTCCGCTCACATCGTAAACATCCACCGTGTTCTCCACCGAGGCAACCGCCAGCAGAGAGCGGTCGGGACTGAAGCTGCACACACGCACACGCACACGCACACACACACACACACACACACACACACACACACACACACACACACACACACACACACACACACACACACACACACACACACACGCACACACACACAAAAAGTGCCTTTATGAGAAAATGTACGTCAAGTATTAGTCAACATCCCAACAGAATTTGAAGGATGACGATGCACATCAAAATGAAACTGAAAAAGGTGCCTGAGACATTCTATAAGTGACCAAGCAGCTAATGTGACAAAAAGGAATGAGACCACGCTGTAAAAAAAGTCTAAGTCTAAAAGTCTTTACTATCTCTTCATCAACTTAACGACAGACAACAATTAATAACAAATAACAATTTAACACACATTTAAGACATTCACACATACACACAACACACACACACACACACACACACACACACACACACACACACACACACACACACACACACACACACACACACACACACACACACACACACACACACACACACAAGCACACACACACAAGCACAGCTACCCACCCACCCCCACACAGCTACCCACCCCCCCACACAGCTACCCACACACACACACACACACACACACACACACACACACACACACACACACACATACACACACACACACACACACACACACACACACACACACACACACACACACACACACACACACACACACACCACACACACACACACACACACACACGGCTGTTTCTCTCTCTTTCTCTCTTCCCTACCGGATGTCCTGGAGGGCGATGCTGCGATCTCGTTTCTTCGCCCACACCTTCAGCGAGTTGGTGAGGAGGAGTAGGAACTCTCCGTTCTTCATCCCGACCGCCAGCATCTCTCCGTCTGCGCTGAAGCTCACACAGCGAGCCGCGGCGCCCACACACACCTTGTTCAACAGTTTCTGCAGAAACAGAGAAGAGGCAACGTTAGAAACCCATTCATTCACATTTAAGGGAATACGTTAAGCCTCTAAGGTTTGCATGAGCACACACATGCATAGCAGTCTAGAAAGCATTGCAATACATCAATCAATCAATCAATCAATCAAGGTTTATTCATATAGCCCAATATCACACATTTCATATTTGTCTCAGGGGACTTTACAGTTTGTACAGAATATGAATACGACACCCTCCGTCCTTGGACCCTCACATCGGATAAGGAAAACTCCCATAAAAAATGTAATGGAAGAAACCTCGGGGAGAGCAACAGCGGAGGATCCCTCTCCCAGGACAGACAGACGTGCAATAGATGCCGTGTGTAAATTAAGAAGATAATACATTTACAACATAGGTAGTCCAAATGCTTATACAAATCATATGTGTATATAAGAAGAAGATCAAGATGGATCCAGGTATCTTGCAAATACGCAAATGTCACTTTGAGTCCAGTGGTTCGCACTGTTTCTGTTTCAGCCATCATATACAGTAATCTCATATAGCCAAAAAGGATAATATGAATTATGTGGAATATTCATTTTCTTTGACAATGTTGGGAGGAAAGTGTGGGGGGGGGGGGGGAATAATCGATACAGCATAGTATTGCGATACTTTGCGTGGCGATATTGTATCGATACACAGACAAGTATCAATATTTTATTATATAAACTATTCATATTGCAAATTCAAGTTGAAGTTTTTGGTAACAATTGTCTTTCTAGGACTTAAGACATTTGTCACATAGATTTTGCACTTATATTACTAACCTTCCATTCATATAATATCTGGTATATTTTGAGGGCATTTTTGAATTTTTGTTGACATTTTCATTTATTTATACGGCCATTTAAAAAATAATTACATGTAATGACAATTCCACTAATATCAAACATTTCACATTGATCTCGTGTCTGATATATTTTGAGGGCTTTCAGTTAAACTACAACAAAGTTTGGATGATGGAAGGATGAATACTGTGTACAAATTCACATGTAACTTAAAGGTGGGGTAGGTAATTTTGGAGAAACCAGCTCGAGTGCGCTAGAATTTGAAAATACACAGCCGGAAAAAATCTGCCACTTCCTTACAGAGCCCCTCCTCCAACACACACGAACGCGCACATGACCAATGAGGGCACGAGATAAGTTTGTGCACGAGATGGAAGATATTTTATTTTATAAACTATTCATATTGCAAATCCAAATTAAAGTTTTGGTAACAATTGCTTTTTCAATCCACTAGATGGCGCTGAGCTTTTTCTTGGGGAAAGTCAGTGGGATTGGCAGGAAGTTAGTCAAAACAAAGATGGAGTCAGGGGAGAAAGAAATCACATCGCTATTAGCTTATCGTAGAATCGCAATACTATCGTATCGTGGCTTAAGTATCGCGATAGTATCGTATCGTGGGGAGCCTGGTGATTCCCACCCCTAGTGTGTACCTTGTCCTCGAGGTCCCACAGTCGGATAGTGGCGTCCTCGCTGGCGGTGATGCAGATCTCTTTGGTGGGATGGGCCGTCAGACCCCAGATTCCCCCCCGAGCGTGGCTGTCCAGCAGCAGGTTGCACGCCGCGTTCTTCTCCCCGACCTCGATGATCTCCCCGTCCTTCGTCCCCACCAGGATCTTACCCTGAGGAAGAGGAGGAGGAGGAGGAGGAGGAGGTGGATTCAAGGTTCAAGTGTGCTTTTTTTTGTAGTTATGACAATGAAATGCTTAGGTCACAGGCTCCTCCTCCAACAGAGCAACACAATACAACAGATAAAATAGTGCAAGTAAATAAAATAAAATATAATATAATAGAAATAGTGCAGAAGAATAGTCTATACAGTATACAAGTAATTGGAAAAATTGATATATAAGTTGAAGAAGAGGGTCTGATGTCTGGACGATGAAGATTTTAAATATTAAATAATGAGTCCTGACCTTCCCTCTGCAGACGGAGCGCACACACTCCACCTGCTGCCCCGTCTCCAGCTGGAACGCTCGACAGCGCTTCATCTCCTGATCCCAGAGCTTCACTGCACCCCCCTCCTTAGTCCTGACACACACACACACACACACACACACACACACACACACACACACACACACACACACACACACACACACACACACACACACACACACACACACACACACACACACACACACACACACACACACACACACAGCTTATTGTAAATCAAATGATGCTTACTGTTGTCTCAGGTTAAAACATCTACAGAATAAATCAGTTTTGATAGATCTTCTTTGTGTTAAAATGGCATTTTTGGTTCATTTTCATTATGTGTATGTGTGTGTGTGTGTGTGTGTGTGTGTCTGCGTCTGTGTGTGTGTGTGTGTGTGTGTGTGTGTGTGTGTGTGTGTGTGTGTGTGTGAGACTCACGGCCTCTCCTTGCCCCCGGTGACGATGAGTCCGTCCCTCAGCGTGGTGTACATGGTGAACACCGGTCCTGTGTGAGCCTTCGCCACCACGCGCAGCAGGAAGTGATCCCGCCACACGTACACGTCCCCGTTAATCGCTCCAGTGAACGTCAAGTTATTCTACAAACACAAAACAAATATATATTTGTAACACATTTCTTAGACAGTTTGTGGACATTTTTATGATTGATTTCACTTAAATACAAGGCATTGTAAACTATTTTCTTAAGGCAAGGCAAGTTTATTTATACAGCACATTTCAACACAAGGCAATTCAAAGTGCTTTACAAAAATGAAAGACATTAAGAAACATATTATGAATTGACATTTAAAAACACTAATTTAAAAGCAACGATACACAAATAAGTGACAGTGCAGTGTGAGATACACACATCTGAAATGTTTAGGTCTGACTCTTAATCATTGCTAACTTTTTAGCAGAAATAGTTTTCTATCAACTCCCTTTCTTTCTACTTTCTTGTTTACACTTGTCCTTTAGATATTTCAAATGTGTGACCCCATGGTACCTTTTAGTTTTCGCCGAAACTATTCCTCTTGCACATAGTTAAGTTTACCTTGTCTTTCTAGGACTTAAGACATTTGTCACATATATTTTGCACTTATATTACTAACCTTGCATTCATATAATATCTGGTATATTTTGAGGGCATTTTTTAATTTTTTATTGACATTTTCATTTATTTATACACCTATTAAATCGGCCATTAAAAAAAAAAAAATCACATGTAATGACAATTCCACTAATATCAAACATTTCGCATTGATCTCGTGTCTGATATAATTTGAGGGCTTTCAGTTAAACTACAACAAAGTTTGGATGATGGAAGGATGAATACTGTATGCACATACACATTGTCCGGTGCCTTGCTCAAGGGCACCACGGCAGGGCAGGAGGTGAACTGCGACCTCTCCAAGTAGCAGTCCACTCTCCATATTTAGGTCTGGTCGGGGATTTGAACCGGCGACCCTACAGCTCCCAGTCCAAGCTGACTGAGCCACCGCCGGACTCCATGGTTGACTTTTTAACACATTTTTAGGATATTTACCCATATGTTTTTTACTGCTATTCCACATCTTGCATTGATCCAATGTATCATATATTATGAGAGCATTTTTTCTGAAATTTTTCACATATTTCTTTGACACCTTTAAACCTTATTTAAAAAACATAACGACCAAATATTTGTAGGAATCTTTCACAGATTTCTTGGACATTGTTTTGGACATTTATGTAAAAATGTTCACTTATTTATCGGCAATTTTTAATACATTTTTGACATTTTCAAAAATAAAATGATGATTTGAAATAATGTTAAACATTTTGCATTGAATTCGTGATATATTTAGAATAAAGTGTGGGTCACCTTTTTCTCAGCAAGTTACTTTTATTAATAGAGAATAATCCATGGTTTACTATGCTCATAACATTTGATTTGGACAGTTGTGGTTTAGTTAAACAACAGCAGCAACAGGTCTTTATGTGACTCACAGCCCCGAATGCGACGGACAGCATGGTCTGCATGCGTGCGTCCTCCACCGTGCCCACTACGCCCTTCCTGTACATCAGAGCGCCGCCCGCCAGCGTCCAGAACTTCACGTGTTTGATTCCCACCGACACAAACTGCGAGTCTGAGTCCGGGCGAAACTCCACCACGAAGATCCGGTCGGGGTGTCCGGCCTTACTGCACACCTTGGATCCTGCAGAGAGACATATGGTTTAATGATACTTTAAGTAAAGGCACACAAAAAGGTCTAGGTTCAAACTGGGAAGAAAGAACTTTAAAGTGGACCTATCATGCTATATTATAATAATATAGTGTAGGACCATACCTATATAAGGCATATTTATACTTTTTTTTTTTCAAAATACCAATCATGCATTTTAGCCATGCCTCATTTCGCTCAATTTGCACTTATTTACCCCTGTTTTAGCAAGGGCAGATTCTGTGAGAACAGCACCACCTACAGGCCTGGCATATGTACTACAGTGTCTCCAGCGCTTTCGAACGGCAATGGCCGTGGCTGTCTCCTCCTGATTGGTGGAGTTGGCCCAATAGCCGTAGCGCCACCGTCCTGACGTCAGGACAGTGTTCAAATCTGGATCAGTTTTTATCAGATCCGTTGCAGCCCCTTTTTTAGAGATTTGGGTATGGAGGAAAATAGAGAGGGTTGTGTTTTCTGACACTTGGTGAGTTCCCTGGAACACCGGGGACACATATTCATGTATAAAAGACGTACAAAAGTGCATTTTGCATGATAGGTCCCCTTTAACTTATTTAATAATGAAGTCATCTCTTATAGCGACAGCAGAAACAAACAAAGTCGCTGAGAGACTGAGGCCGGGCCTGTTTGATATTGTATGACACGCTAAAAAAGAGCACTTACTGAGATCAAAACTCTGTTGAATTGTAATGTAGTTTAATGAAAAATATGCGGTGATCAGACATACGACATTGTAATAATAATGATCAAAGCAATCATAATTCTTGCGGTCATCAGTCGGCCATGTGTCACCCTCTCTTCCACACAGGATTATAATGAGTGCCGCCCATATCCATGTGACCCAAGCCAACCAATCAATAGTGATCGAACAAATATCTTATATTAAAACCAAACGCATTGCTATACACGTTTCATGGCTCCTACATCTCTCATATTTTTTACATTTTTTTATATATTTTGATAAGGATTTTAGACATTTTTCACATATATTTCAGAGAGACATAACGTGATTTAATTATACTTTAATAAAAAGACACACAAGGAGGTGTATGTTCATACTGGGTAGAAAGAACTTTACATTTTATAATGAAGTCATCTCTCAGATTTTGGAGGATTTTAGAATTTTTTCACATATATTTCTGACTTTCTTTTTTTGTTTATGTCCTGAAAATATGTAAAATAATAGTTTGTGCAGGTCCAAACATTTGCTCAAAAATGTTCAAGAATTGTTAAGAAACAAAATTCAGAAAAAGTCGATTTAAAAAATAAAGTCAGAAAAAACGTCGTAAAAATATGTGAAAAAAATCACAAATATTTGGGATTCTTTTGAAAAATGACACCTAAACATATATCAATTTACACACTTTCAATGCGGGAATTTCCCTTGAGTTATGGATGTGAGGAGTACTTCCTGTATGTGAGTATTTAACAAATGTATGGCCCTCTCTGACCTTCCTGCCAGCGCCACACGGTGATGGTGTGTTCAGGCTCCACGTACCTTCCTGCCACCTCCACACGGTGATGGTGTGTTCAGGCTCCACCCCGACGGACAGCAGCAGCTTCCCCGTGGCGCTGAAGTTCACGTAGCCGACGCCTTTAGTGTGCGGACAGCGGAGGATGGACAGCGTCTGTTTGCTCATCGCGTCCCACACGTGGATCGAAGGGGTCGTACCTGTGTAGAGATAACAGAGAGAATGTATTAATTTAATTATTTATGTATTTATTTCACTTTGGCTTAAACGGCATTCTATAAGAGGGATGCAGTTGAAGAAAATGTATGCTACACAACAAAAACAAGACAAAAACAAAACAGTAGTAGTGACTTCCTGGGGTGTGTTTTTTTAATTTGCGGAGGAATAAACAAACAACATTGGGGAATTCTCTGTTCAGATAATGTCACATAAAAAAATATACGATTTTATAAACGTTTACATTTTGAGCACCAAGCATCATTGATGTAAACCGAAAATGTATACCAAAGTTTAATGACAAATTGTGGATACATTTTTTTGTCTGGGGTCTTTGGGTTTTAGGGGGCTATGGTAGAGGGAGAGGCGGGGTGCGTTGGATTTGTTTACCTGGCACTTCACTGATGTCGCCTGAGGTGTTGTGAGAGCGACGGGACAAAACATACACACACGAACAGAAAACAAAACAAAAAACAGATAAAAACCTGACGTGAGAGGTTAGTAAAGAGAGATAGAAACTATTATTTATTCTGCTAAAAGTAGATTATCTACTAAAAAATGTGATGCATTTAACAAGCGTTTTGCAAAATTGTTTATTTAATGTCATTTTTATTTCTGCTTGGTGCCAATCGATACAATTGACAGTCCAAGAGGGCGTTATCTATGTTGTTATGTTATTTTGTCCTGCTTTTATATTAATGCATGAGAAATAATAATAAAATGATATCATATAATGGTATAACATTTCAAAACTTCAAATTGACCTATTTTTTTACATACGTTTGTAGTGTTGTATTGGTACGTTTACTGCAGTAGTATCAACATATTTCTCCAGCACTAAATGTTTTTAATACAATAAATCTCACAAGTTAAGGAGACGAAAAGTAGAACTCTATTTCCGGCAAATTGAAAAATTACATCTTCGCAAGAAACAATTTTAAGACACTCCTCTACACACTGATTATAGTTTTTACTTTTAAATTCAGAGTTAGTATTCATTCTCATAGTTGAAAACAAGTGAAGCAAGCAGGTTACACACGAAGCAGAGGAGAGAAAAGCACACACACACACACACACACACACACACACACACACACACACACACACACACACTCAGTGTACCGATCTGTCCGCTGGCGATGACGTTCTTGTACTTGGGGTGCTGGTTGGCGGTCAGAGAGAGGATGTCGTCAGTGTGCTCTAGGTAGAAGCTCTGAGTTCCTGCAGAAGAAGAAGACACACAAACGCATCACTCTGATGATGAAACCCTCTTTAATTGTCACACATGATCATGCACACAGTGAAAGTTGAACTCTGCATTTAACCCATCCTAGTACTAGGAGCAGTGGGAGGTTGCAGGTTTGATTCCCAGCAACCATTTATGTTACTGGGCAACTTGAAGGGGGCCTATTGGCTAGCGCTCCAACACATTGTACGTGATAGGCTAAGGGGCGGGACCAGAGGTTGAGCTAGACCTTTTCGACGGACAGGATCGTAACATTACCGTCAAAATATAGTATTACCCATCGGGGGGTGGGGGGGGGGGGGGAGAGAGAGCACGCTCGTGAACTGTCAACCGGGGGGGGGGGGGGGGGGGAGAGCACGCTCGTGAATTGTCAACGCCATGTTATGCATGCCCACTGCACCCCGCGGGAGCGCGCACAGCGTAAAGCCAAAACTCACAGACATTTCAATGTTTTGTACGGCAAAGTACGGTTTGGAAACGGTATCATTTCCTTTTAGGTGGGCATGCATAACACGGCAAAACATCGGAGCCTCGCTGCGGGGAAACTTTTGCGCTGTTCCGAGTTTGTTCTAATCTGTCAAAATGACTGCTTTCAGATCTTTCCGTCATTGTTAAAATCCGTCATAGAAGGAAACTATTTGGTTAACGCAACCTCTGGGCGGGATATCTCTAAGTGGTTGACCAATCTCAACAGAGCCGGCCAGCTAACCAATCAGAGCAGACTGGGCTCTGGTTTCAGACAGAGGGTGAAAAGAGGTGCTGCAGCACAGGCAGTATGAGAACAATAAAGAGCTTTTTGAACATGAAAGCATGGAGACATGTAGAGACACTACATACTGATATACACCTGAACATCAACAGGAGAGGACTCTTTAAAGTAGAGACACTACATACTGATATACACCTGAACATCAGCAGGAGAGGACTCTTTAAAGTAGAGACACTACATACTGATATACACCTGAACATTAACAGGAGAGGACTCTTTAAAGTAGAGACACTACATACTGATATACACCTGAACATCAGCAGGAGAGGACTCTTTAAAGTAGAGACACTAAATACTGATATACACCTGAACATCAGCAGGAGAGGACTCTTTAAAGTAGAGACACTACATACTGATATACACCTGAACATCAGCATGAGAGGACTCTTTAAAGTAGAGACACGACATACTGATATACACCTGAACATCAACAGGAGAGGACTCTTTAAAGTAGAGACACTAAATACTGATATACACCTGAACATCAGCAGGAGAGGACTCTTTAAAGTAGAGACACTACATACTGATATACACCTGAACATCAGCAGGAGAGGACTCTTTAAAGTAGAGACACTAAATACTGATATACACCTGAACATCAGCAGGAGAGGACTCTTTAAAGTAGAGACACTAAATACTGATATACACCTGAACATCAGCAGGAGAGGACTCTTTAAAGTAGAGACACTACATGCTGATATACACCTGAACATCAGCAGGAGAGGACTCTTTAAAGTAGAGACACTACATACTGATATACACCTGAACATCAGCAGGAGAGGACTCTTTAAAGTAGAGACACTAAATACTGATATACACCTGAACATCAGCAGGAGAGGACTCTTTAAAGTAGAGACACTAAATACTGATATACACCTGAACATCAGCAGGAGAAGACTCTTTAAAGTAGAGACACTAAATACTGATATACACCTGAACATCAGCAGGAGAGGACTCTTTAAAGTAGAGACACTACATACTGATATACACCTGAACATCAGCAGGAGAGGACTCTTTAAAGTAGAGACACTACATACTGATATACACCTGAACATCAGCAGGAGAGGACTTTTTAAAGTAGAGACACTAAATACTGATATACACCTGAACATCAGCAGGAGAGGACTCTTTAAAGTAGAGACACAACATACTGATATACACCTGAACACCAGCAGGAGAGGACTCTTTAAAGTAGAGACACAACATACTGATATACACCTGAACACCAGCAGGAGAGGACTCTTTAAAGTAGAGACACTACATACTGATATACACCTGAACATCAGCAGGAGAGGACTCTTTAAAGTAGAGACACTAAATACTGATATACACCTGAACATCAGCAGGAGAGGACTCTTTAAAGTAGAGACACTACATACTGATATACACCTGAACATCAGCAGGAGAGGACTTTTTAAAGTAGAGACACTAAATACTGATATACACCTGAACATCAGCAGGAGAGGACTCTTTAAAGTAGAGACACAACATACTGATATACACCTGAACACCAGCAGGAGAGGACTCTTTAAAGTAGAGACACTACATACTGATATACACCTGAACATCAGCAGGAGAGGACTCTTTAAAGTAGAGACACTAAATACTGATATACACCTGAACATCAGCAGGAGAGGACTCTTTAAAGTAGAGACACTACATGCTGATATACACCTGAACATCAGCAGGAGAGGACTCTTTAAAGTAGAGACACTACATACTGATATACACCTGAACATCAGCAGGAGAGGACTCTTTAAAGTAGAGACACTAAATACTGATATACACCTGAACATCAGCAGGAGAGGACTCTTTAAAGTAGAGACACTAAATACTGATATACACCTGAACATCAGCAGGAGAAGACTCTTTAAAGTAGAGACACTAAATACTGATATACACCTGAACATCAGCAGGAGAGGACTCTTTAAAGTAGAGACACTACATACTGATATACACCTGAACATCAGCAGGAGAGGACTCTTTAAAGTAGAGACACTACATACTGATATACACCTGAACATCAGCAGGAGAGGACTTTTTAAAGTAGAGACACTAAATACTGATATACACCTGAACATCAGCAGGAGAGGACTCTTTAAAGTAGAGACACTACATACTGATATACACATGAAAGATGATCTTTAATGTTTGACTTTATGTGATTTAATTAATCTTGTGTCACATGGGGTTAAAGCGTTCACAGTGAGTGTGTTACCGGTGCTGAGGCTGTGCACGATGGCGGTGGCGGCCGTGTGATAAACGATGTCTGTGCCGTCGTTCAGGTAGTGAAGGTTATTACGACAATCGAATCCTCGAAAACCAAACACGTGCTCCAAAACCAGGTCCTGCAACAGAGTTCGATCGCTATCAGCAAACATTGGAAAGAATAATACAATTAATAATGAATAAGAGAAAGAGGGAAGACAGACTGACCTCCACTAGTCTCTTCTTCTTAGACACGTTGTTCTTCTTCTGCAGTTTTTCTGGCTGCGGCGCCGCTCGACTCACTGGAGGCCTGGAGGACCAATCAGGGTGTTAAATCATTAATAAATCAATTATAATTTAAACTCAGACAAAGACAGGTGGAGGAACAGACAGTGTGAGGTAATGCCAACACACACACCCACACACTTAGATATAATATGACCACCTGTGTGCTATAGCTACATGCTAACAAAATGCTACCATGCTACAGGTGCTTGTTTTCAGGATAACATGCGATCTGAGGGTTGATTTTATTATACGTAAGAAACTGCAAATATGTTTAATACAAAATCAAGATTATTAAAAAATAAATAAACTCAGCTTTAAAATGTTATTTATGTGAATATTTAACCCTTTTCTCCATTTGTTTTGGACTACTTTTGAAATGAATGTAGTACTTTTTTATTCATTTATTGAAATTGTTCAGAATTCCTAAAGTGATGTGTTAAATATTAACATCAGTATCCGCTCATACTCACTTGACAATGCCCTGCCTCCAGGGGAAAGCAAGTGAAAACACAACACAGATATTAAGAGTTACTCCAAGAGAGAGCAACACTTAGGAAGTAAGGGTACCACAAGGGACAAAAACAAGACTTTAGGCTGCATAAAACACGAGGTCTTATTAAAAACTAAACACTAAATGTTAACTAATCCATCAGCTTTCGCTCAAGCACAGAGAGAACTGAGCCACGAATGAGTGGACAAAATATAATCAATCGACTATGCAGAAGCTTTTCATGCATTAGATTAAAAAAAGTCCTTTCGATTTAAACAGAACACGTGAAAGCACAAGTGTATAACTTCTAACATTAACACACACTAACACACACACACAAGCACACAGACATACTGTGACCATTGATGACACACACCAAGGATAAGATGAAATATATGGTTTCAGTTTCAGATTTATAACGTTTTTAAAAAAGCATTATTTAAAGGGACATCATGCTGCATTTTGTGTGTGTGTGTGTGTGTGTGTGTGTGTGTATACCTCTCCTCTGCAGAAACCTCTCTCAGCTGTTGGTGAGGTTTGGTTCCTCTCATCTCTCTGATGCTGACGGCGTACATCTTCGTCGTGTAATCCACCGTCTTCTCACGAGCAACGTCACTGTCGTAGCCTACACACACACACACACACACACACACACACACACACACACACACACACACACACACACACACACACACACACACACACACACACACACACACACACACACACACACACACACACACACACACACACACACACACACACACACACACACACACACACACACACACACACACATCTTGTGTTTGAAGCTGAACAGTTGAATGAAGGTAAGGGTTATTGTTGTTCCACCGTTGCACACCCACCTCCATCCTCATCGACGTCGTCCTCCGACTCCTCGCTGTCGACGGTCGGTCGGTTGTCTCGACTCAGAGGCCCCTCCCCTTCCCCACTGGCCCCGCCCCCTCGCTCCCTCGCCCAGATCATGAGGGCGGTGTCGGCACCCCCCACCGTTAGCAGGGCCGAATCGTCCTGGTTCCAGCGGACGTTGGTCACCTGCGCGCTGTGGCCCACGTAGCGCTTAAAACGAGCGTACTGACCCTGAGGGGGGGGGGAGGGCGAAACACACCAGAAACACACCTGATGACCTCTCAGTGCACAGACTGATATTATAAGATATGCAATGAGAAAAGAAGTTCAAGCTAAAGCAAAAACATTATTATGGAAATGTGGGAAATAGATGATGGCTCCCCTTAACAACTTTCCTCAGTTTTAGATTAGAATTAGAAAATGTAACCCTACAACACCTATTTCACGTTTATCTCATATATGTACATCACGTTATTTCAAACTTATCTCATGTTTATTCTGTGTTAAAATCATATTTCTTCATATTTATCATATATTCATTGAATGTTTATCTCATGTTTGACTTACCTCGATCTAATCTCATACTGATTTGGTGTTCAAGATATATTTATCACATTTAAAGGTGGGGTAGGTAATTCACTTCAGAAACACTTGTTGTTATATTCCATGGAATGCTCTTAACATCCCGATAGCAATGAAAACATTAAATGCTTTGACAATAAATACATAAAAAAATGTCATCTGTGGAAGCCGTGGCGCTGTAAAAAGCACGACCAATCATCTGAGCCGGCCCGGCTAAAATAACTGGATGGCCTACCTGCCTGTCAGCCTTCCATCTGTGCACAAACTTATCTCGTGCCCTCATTGGTCATGTGCGCGTTCGTGTGTGTTGGAGGAGGGGCTCTGTAAGGAAGTCTGAAGGAAGTGGCAGATCTTTTTCGGCTGCGTACTTTCAAATTCTAGCGCACTCGAGCTGGTTTCTCCATTCTTACCTACCCTACCTTTAACTGTCATAATTATATCATGTAAATGTTCATATGTAAAGTGTATTTTCTCTTACTCTGACGGGGTATCCGAACAGTTTCAGGAATCCGAAGTCGTCTCCGGTGGCGAGCAGCGCTCCATCTCTGGTGAGCGAGGCGGCGTTGATGTCCGTGATGTCGCTGTGAGTCGGCCAGATCCCGTCACAGCTGGAGCCCAAAACACACGTCCAGCTGGACCAGTCCACCCGCTCCAGCTACACACACACGCACACACACACACACACACACACACACACACCACACACACACACACACACACACACACACACACACACACACACACACACACACACACACACACACCCACACACACACACACACACACACACACACACACACAACACACACACACAAAAACATAATATACACCCAACAATGAGGTAAGATAAGACCGAAAATAACACTTGAGTTGCATGAACAAGAACATAAAGTAATATATAGATAATAAACACACACACACACACACACACACACACACACACACACACACACACACACACACACACACACACACACACACACACACACACACACACACACACACACACACACTGACCTCAGAGTTTTTGATTATTTGTCTTCTTCCTCTCGGAGCTTCAAAGAAAAGTTGCTCTTTGGCTCCTGTGTTCACCTGCAGCAGTTTACCTGCAACACACACACACACACACACACACACACACACACACACACACACACACACACACACACACACACACACACACACACACACACACACACACACACACACACACACACACACACACACACACCACACACACACACACACACACACAGGTGGAACACAGAAAAAGAAAAGGATTGGACTTATTAAGACTTGACAGAAAACAAAAAATGAAGGACTTCAGTGCAAAGATTTAAGATTTACAAAACTCCAACTTTTTTCGACATCACACGTTCTTAGTTTCAAACAAACTCTGCACAAATCGAATAAAGTGTGTGTTACCCTTGAGGTCCCAGTCGATGTGTGTGATGTAGCTGGACGCTCCTTTGCAGATCCCCACCCTCTTGCTGCTCTGCACGTTGTAGATGTCCACGAAGCCGTCATGGGACGCCACCGCCAGGAATTTACCTGAGTCTGAGGACCAGGAAACATCAGATTGACCGTCTGAGGCACACATCTAAACCTTATCATATTGCCAGACCTTTGTGTTTTTGGTTTTAAAATATACTTTTTTTGCAGGACTATCAATCTCTTTACATGCCCAGAATCATCACACTCTCCAGAAAGTGTGTGTGTCAATTATTAAAGTCTTATTAGTAGGTGACATTAGCTGTGAAAGTAAAACATGCCAGTGGAAGTTTTGCGTATCTTTGCAAAAAACGGCACTGCAATCGATTTTCTTGATTAGATTAGTTTGGCCTATTTAGTTTGAAAGTTATGCTCATTCTTTTGGAAAGGGTCAATGCGAGTCCTCAGCACCGAGCAGTAGTTATACTAGTAGTTATATTCAGAGGTGGGAAGTAGTGGAGTACAAATACTTCGTTACTGTACTTAAGTACATGTTTCTGGTATCAGTACTTTACTCCACTACTTATTTTTCTGACCACTTTTTACTTTGACTTCTTACATTTTGATCACAAATACCTGTACTTTCTACTTTTACATTTTGAACACAAATACCTGTACTTTCTACTTCTTACATTTTGAACACAAATACCTGAACTTTCTACTTCTCACATTTTGAACACAAATACCTGTACTTTCTACTTCTTACATGTTGAACCCAAATACCTGTACTTTCTACTTTTACATTTTGAACCCAAATACCTGTTCTTTCTACTTTTACATTTTGAACCCAAATACCTGTTCTTTCTACTTCTTACATTTTGAACACAAATACCTGTTCTTTCTACTTCTTACATTTTGAACCCAAATACCTGTTCTTTCTACTTCTTACATGTTGAACACAAATACCTGTACTTTCTACTTCTTACATTTTGAACACAAATACCTGTACTTTCTACTTTTACATTTTGAACCCAAATACCTGTACTTTCTACTTCTTACATGTTGAACACTAATACCTGTACTTTCTACTTCTTACATTTTGAACACAAATACCTGTACTTTCTACTTTTACATTTTGAACCCAAATACCTGTACTTTCTACTTTTACATTTTGAACCCAAATACCTGTACTTTCTACTTCTTACATGTTGAACACAAATACCTGTTCTTTCTACTTCTTACATTTTGAACACAAATACCTGTACTTTCTACTTCTTACATGTTGAACACAAATACCTGTACTTTCTACTTTTACATTTTGAACCCAAATACCTGTACTTTCTACTTTTACATTTTGAACCCAAATACCTGTACTTTCTACTTCTTACATGTTGAACACAAATACCTGTACTTTCTACTTTTACATTTTGAACCCAAATACCTGTACTTTCTACTTCTTACATTTTGAACACTAATACCTGTACTTTCTACTTCTTACATTTTGAACACAAATACCTGTACTTTCTACTTCTTACATTTTGAACACAAATACCTGTACTTTCTACTTCTTACATGTTGAACACAAATACCTGTACTTTCTACTTTTACATTTTGAACCCAAATACCTGTACTTTCTACTTTTACATTTTGAACCCAAATACCTGTACTTTCTACTTCTTACATGTTGAACACAAATACCTGTACTTTCTACTTTTACATTTTGAACCCAAATACCTGTACTTTCTACTTCTTACATTTTGAACACAAATACCTGTACTTTCTACTTCTTACATGTTGAACACAAATACCTGTACTTTCTACTTCTTACATTTTGAACACTAATACCTGTACTTTCTACTTCTTACATGTTGAACACAAATACCTGTTCTTTCTACTTCTTACATTTTGAACCCAAATACCTGTACTTTCTACTTCTTACATTTTGAACACAAATACCTGTACTTTCTACTTCTTACATGTTGAACACACATACCTGTACTTTCTACTTTTACATTTTGAACCCAAATACCTGTACTTTCTACTTCTTACATGTTGAACCCAAATACCTGTACTTTCTACTTCTTACACTTTGAACCCAAATACCTGAACTTTCTACTTCTTACATTTTGAACCCAAATACCTGTACTTTCTACTTCTTACATGTTGAACCCAAATACCTGTACTTTCTACTTCTTACATGTTGAACCCAAATACCTGTACTTTCTACTTCTCACATTTCCCAAACAGGCTGGTTCCTTTAGTTTGAATGTGTGTTTGGTGGCGTGATCATTATTATTTAGAGTCATTGCGTGCCTATTGATTTGAACACGATCCGTGTATCCATCATTTCCTGGTCTTCTCTAAAGAAGAGGGACCAATGAAAACGTTGTCATGTTGCCGTTGTTCAGCATGGAAACATTCATTAGCTAACAATGACATTATTGTTCTATTAATATAAAGGGAGGTCAGGTACTCTTTAAAACAGCTGCTAGTTATGGGTACTTTTCACTTAAGTACATTTCAAAGCCCTCTTTACTTTTACTTGAGTAAAGAAGTTTAGTCAGTACTTCTACTTCTACCAGAGTATTTTTAAGCACGAGTATCTGTACTTCTACTTGAGTAAAGGATGTGTGTACTTTTGCCATCTCTGGTTATATTTGTGTAGATGTGTGTGTGTGTACCTGGGGTGAAGCGGATGTCTGAGATGGCGTCTCGGCGGTGGTTGAAGCTTAGCAGGTCCTCCAGCGTGTCTGCGTTCACCACCATCACCCCCCCGTCACTCAGACCCACCGCAAGGGCCTTCCCATCGGGGGAGAAGGAGCAGCAGCGACCGCCTGGAGGAATGTGGTAAAGTATTAAAACTGTATTCAATTCGCTTTCTTTACCTCTGTTCAGTTTATTGCTTTGCTTCTATAAAAAAAAGAGATTCAAAAACAATAGAACATCTCATATGTGGAAAATAATGTCAAATATCTAGGATTTGTAGTAAATGGATAGGGAAAAAAAATTGGTAGCCCGTTTATAGCTGTCTTCTGTTTATTCATATTCATTTTAAATAGTGAAACACATCAATTGTATTGTCTCTTGATATTTGTCCAGATGTTACACATGGAGCTGCTGTGATGCAAGTCAAATGTCAGACTTGATCTGACCAATAAAGTATTATCGTATCGTACCGTATCGTAATAAAAATACTGATGTATGGAAAATAATGTCAAATATCTGGGATTTGTAGCGAATAGATCAAACACCTCTCCTCAGCTTGCGGACGGCCACCATGCGGTGATTGCTCGACGTCTCCCAGAGTCTCAGAGTCTTATCATCGCTGACGGTGGCGCAGACGTGGAGGAGGGGGTGAGGAGCCAGACCCCAAACCTCACCCTCCATGTGACCCTGCACACACACACACACACACACACACACACACACACACACACACACACACACACACACACACACACACACACACACACACACACACACACACACACACACACACACACACACACACACACACATTGAAAAACAGGTTTATAAACACACAATTTCACATACATTTGCATGCATCTGTGAATGTGTATTCGATAACATTTTTACGTGTGGTTGTGTGTGTGTGTGTGTGTGTGTGTGTGTGTGTGTGTGTGTGTGTGTGTGTGTGTGCTGATAGATCTTCGGACAGCTCTCTTCACCATGGCAACAGGTGCTATACCAGACTGCCAGAAATGTAAAAATACCTCCTCCTAAGGTCCTTTCTCATTCAAACACACACTCACTCGCACACACTTTCTACATACCACATGATCGTCCTCAGCAGATGGTGTTTGGCCTGTTGTCATGGGCACTTCGTTTTTCAGTTTAAATGATTAAAACACACACACACACACACACACACACACACACACACACACACACACACACACACACACACCTGCACGAGTAGGGTCATGGGTCCGGTTTTGTCGATCTCCACAACCTCTCCGTTTTTGGTTCCCACCAGGATGTGACCGTGACCCAGAGTGAGGGCTCTGATGGAGGGGTTGTCCTCCAGCAGCAGGCCTACACACACACACACACACACACACACACACACACACACACACACACACACACACACACACACACACACACACACACACACACACACACACACACACACACACACACACACACACACACACACACACACGTTTAAAATGACAGAAACACATTGATATTACTACAAACAATTGTGCGTGTCCCCGTACGTCCACCTGATGGCACTGTTGGATACAAAATAAGTTTTGTTATGTTTTTTATTCATACATTATTATTACATTTTTCTTCTCTTTGATTAGATATGTTGCTTGTTTAAGGATTATATAATATACTATAATTATTACATTAATGCTACCTTGAATATCTGTTAGACGTTTTTAACAAAGTTTGCTATTAAAATATGTTTAATAAAGTTTTAAAAGAGCATTTCTTTCCCACAGTTCTACCATTTCTTGGGAAAATTGCCGAGTTCTTTAATCCTCTTACATTTGATTGGTTGTTACAGGGCTCTTACTTGTTTTTATTAGGGTGTATATTATAAATAGGATAATCAGTGGCGGCGCCAGGGTATGGCTGGGGTAGGCTACAGCCATACCAAGAAATGGCTTAGCCCCACCTTAGCCCCACCATGAAAAATGATGTAAATAAAGTAAGCAAATTAAATAACATCGTATGGTATCGTATCGTATCGTAAATTAAATTAAATAATAAGCAAAATGCTAAATGTTGAGAACACGGCTTGCGAAAATATACGGGTCGTGTCCACAACACACAAACTGATCCTGCTGTAACAACAAGTGCACGTTACTGATGCAATATGGTTGAGACCATTCGGGGTTATGCTAGAAGAGGGGTGCAAGGAATAGTCTGAGTAGTGGGGGAGTTTTATACACTAAAGGTGTGGAAATTCTCTGGCGTTATAATATCAGCGCGGCCGCGGTCAGATCAAAATGCCTCCGAATGCAATTTGAATAGACCTACAGCCAATCAGAGCAACGCAACGTTGGGTCTGCGTCATGCCTTACTGATTGAGATCAATCGGAACCGCCATTCAGTATCCCCATTGGATCTTCAACGTGTACTATCATACGTCACGTTCACAGTGATCCCTTTTTATTTACTACAAGACAAATGTGCCGTTTTATTTCATACAGTTCCATTTTGATTGAGACAGGGAAATAATCTAAACCTCACGCGTGGCGTTTCACTGTCAAGGGGGGCGATATAGCGTGTATGTAATTACATTGCAAATACAGACTTGAGCCCCACCACTGTATGGGTTAGCCCTACCATAGATTACCATTAACACAAATACTCTGGCGCCGCCACTGGTTAGGGTGTATATTATAAATATATATAATATAGTATCCGTGTGTACCTTTGGACCCCGGGGACAGCGAGGCTCTCTTGATGGCGTACGTCTTCAGGCAGCGCTCGAACATGTCGTCCCACAGCTCCACCACGCCGTCCTTACCCCCCGTCACAAAACCCTGGAATCATTATTACAAGTCATATATTCGCTCTCAGTTATTATAGGAGTTTAAAAGGCAGTACAAGTATTACAAACACACTGTGGGAAAACATCAACATTTATACAAAGCCATGTTAGGGAAACTTCCATCCTACATCTGCTCCCTGATCTCACGGCGAATTGTAAGTGGCTACTGCCTGAGATCGCATGCTGTGGTTTTATTAAATGTGCCAACTGCTAGGACTGTCTTAGGGAAGATAGCATTTAGATGCGCAGCTCCACTGTCCTGGAATAGTCTGCAATTGAAATGGAAATTGAGCAATCTGGTGCCACTAAATGTTTTTAAAGCTCGGTTGGATGCTACTCAATCGGAAGCTGTTGGTACCTGTGCATGTGGATAGTATGTAAATTGTAATCCCTGTAATGATGCTGTATGATGTCCTTTTTGTTGTTCTGTTTATGTTTTGATGTTTCATGTGGAACCTACTTGAGCAGGTCTCCCTTGAAAAAGAGATCAATGATCTCAATGGGATTCACCTGGATAAATAAAGGTTTGAAATGAAATGAAAATCACTCAGAGCTAAAGTCCAATTCAATTCAAAGTCAGATCAACAGATTTCAATTCAAGTAAAAGTATTGTTATTACATTTAACTTGACGTAGAAAACGTTATGTAATGATCTTTGAATAATGTTTTGGAATTCATAAAACTGCTCCTTTCTCCTTCTTTATTTCCCCCCCTCCTCCCCCCCTCTGTCAGAGCTGCCACCCTTCAGTCTTCAGTCTTTCCTCCAAAGACTCTCACACAGTTGTCGTTGTGTTTGAAGAAAATCTATTTTAAACTTTTCCCTCTGAGTTTTATATAACGTTCCCTGACACCCTGAGTCAAAACTCTCTGCACCGGGAATCTTAATCAGGTCACTGAAACACCTGTTAACCTGTAATTATCAGATGTTAATTCATACTTCATTATAATTATAAGATACAGAAGTCATAATTACAGCAGGGAGCTGTATGGAAACAGTTAGATGAGTCATTTTCTGAAATGTGTAGAATATTGTTTAATTTGTCTTCATCCACATTTCATTCATATGTTGTAAATCATTTTATAGTAATTTCTATTTTAAATTCATAATACAACTTTGTCTAAAACATACTTGGCACTTAACGTATTTCTGATTCCTTTTATTTTCTCCTATATTTCAATATAGTAAATATCAATTAGCTTTTAGCAGGAGTTCCTGTTTGCAAATAAACCATAATAAAACATTTAAAAAAGCCAAAATGTGGATTTATTAAGGTTTTTCTGCATTGTTCATCAAAACATATGTATGTCTTTCTCTTTCTCTTACACACACACACACACACACACACACACACACACACACACACACACACACACACACACACACACACACACACACACACACACACACACACACACACACACACACACACACACACACACACACACACACACACACACACACACACACACACACACACACACACACACACACACACACACACACACACACACCTTGTCGAGGGAGAACATGGCGAACACGGGTCCATCGTGGGCTTTGATGGTTTTCAGCAGCAGCGCTTCCTTCCAGATGTAAACGTCTCCTGTTGCTCCGCCAGAGAACACCAACGCCTCGCTGCGGCCGTAACACACCGACATCATGGTCTCCGGACGCGCCACGGCCTTGAACGCACCGCGCTTAAAGGTCAGACCGCCACCTGGAGGACCAGCAGAGGAAATCAGATTAAACTCAAGAAATGAAACACAAAAATCTCTCTTTGTTGTTAAAGGAAAGGTCCCCTATTATACTGTGTTTCATTACTTTAATATAGTTCTCAGATATATACAAAACATGTCTCTGAAGTGTTTGGCTCCAAACACCAAACAGATCACTGCAGCATCCCATAATCCCCTCTGTTTCAGCCCTGTTTCCAAAGTGCTGATTCTCTGTCTGTTACTTTAGATGAAAATAAGGAGCCCCTCCCCACGCCCCTCTGAGAGATATTTGGTTAAAAAGAACTCAATGGTGCTCTAGGAGGAGATTCAGGTGATAAGGGGGGGGGGGGTTACCTTGGTTGCTGATTGGCTAATGGTTACACAAGCCAAAATGACATCATAAAGTGGCCAAAATCTGATCAGCTCATTTTCAGACAGGTTTTTATATAAATGGATCAAGACAAAAAGAGAGAGAATCTTTTTTCCTGAAACTTTCAGAGTCTCTTTACACAGAGGGGACACATGTTGATGAAGAAGAGACATGAAGAAGAGGGGACACATGTTGATGTAGAAGAGACATGAAGAAGAGGGGACACATGTTGATGTAGAAGAGACATGAAGAAGAGGGGACACATGTTGATGTAGAAGAGACATGAAGAAGAGGGGACACATGTTGATGTAGAAGAGACATGAAGAAGAGGGGACACATGTTGATGTAGAAGAGACATGAAGAAGTGGGTTTTGCACAATAGGTGACCTTTAAAACTGTTGAATACAAAGTCTGGAAAGTGGCGCCCCAGTTTCTGTAATTCTAGTCTTTGTTTGTTCACTTCGATAATGATATCTCCTTGAAAAATAATTCACCCTGAATCTGAAAAGATATGCATGTTCAGATTTGACTGAGTTATGACCATGAGAAGGAGAGTGGATTTAGATGAAATGTGTTTGTTTTCCATTAGGAAGCTCCTCGCAGTTTAAAAACCTCTCGCCTAAAGGTCAGAAAATATTACAAATATTCACAGAGGAGTCCTCATTACAAGCTCTAATTGTCTCTTTTGGGACGCCGGCTGCAGCAAAAGGTCAGAAAAAGACAACAGAGTGTAAATTATTTATATGGTAAGCATTACGGGAACAGAAAACAGAAAGTTGCAAATTACACATGAAGACGGAAGAATAATATTCTTAACTTCCTCGAGTCCAAGCACACAAACTACTTTGTTCACAGTAACATAACACAACTTTGTGCGTCCTCCCTGCAGTTTTACCCGCATGTTGCCAGAACTGGATGTGTTTGATTCCCACAGTGACCAGCTTGTCCATCAGCATGGGATTACACTTCACCACAAATATCTTCTCCTTATGACCCCTGCAGAGAAGGAGACACAGGTACACAGAAAGTGCAAGATAAGGACGAAGAAAGAGGATTTATACTCCAACTTTACCCCCCAAAAATCGAAGTAAAATGTATTTTTATAGCGCTTTTCACACACACAAGTCCCAGAGTACTTTGCAACGGCATTAAAAAATTGATACAAAATAAAAAAGGAGGGGGCTGAGCTCATGCTACTGCCTAAACTAAATGCTGCCGTGATGAAACGCCATATCATGGATTATCAAGGATTATTTCTGAAACAGTATGGAGCTCAAAGGCTTTCTCTCTTGCTGGTTATACCACAAGGTGAGTTCCTTTTTATTTCCTGCTTCTTCACACACATGCTCTCCAGTACAGGTTAGCTCTGAGTGTTAGCGATGCTAATGTAAACACCGACCATATTACGTCCAAAACAGTCGGGCATTGTTTCTGATAGCAACGTTTCTGATAGGGCCGTGGGTCCACATTTCAGATATTACGTCATATCGGACGCAAATCTGGATCAGCTCCGTTGTAGCCCCGTTTTTAGAGATTTGGGTACGGAGGAAAAGAGAGAGGGTTTTATTTTCTGACGCTGCGTGAGTTCCCCGACACACCGGGGACACATATTGATGTATAAAAGACATCAAAAAGTGCATTTTGCATGATAGGTCCCCTTTAAGAGTTCTTTTTGCCATATAAGGTTTAAAATGTAATAAATCAAAGGTGCATACTATATTATAACACAACACTTTGTCACTGTATCATCACCAATGTTTAATTACTAGAAGTAGTAACACTGGTAGTTGTATTTGAGAGGTAGACAAATAATGATAATATTTACAGCTTTGTATCAGTCTGAGTGGTAGTAGAAGTAACGTAGAAAACAATTATTATAGGTATTTTTGTTTATTTTTCACAGAGCTTGCAGTAGCTTAGAGTATTTTGTTGTACCTTGTAGCAGTGAATAGTATTTTAATAAACAGTACCAGGCAGTAGCGAGTTTCTCTCCTCTCTTCCAGTCCCAGATCACGATCGAGTGTCCGTCATCGAGTCCCACCGACACCAGACTCTTCCCATCCGCTGCAGCAGGAGCACCCAGAGGAAATAAAGCAGGACAAGAGTTTATTCTCAAACACAACAAGCAGACCTCTAACACCAGGAGACACTCTTTATTCCTCCATTAGATCTCAGAGCCTTTATGAGAAAATGTACGTCAAGCATTAGTCAACATCCCAACAGAGTTTCAAGGATGATGCGCATCAAAATGAAACTTAAAAAGGTGCCTGAGAATTTTTTTTAGTGACCAAGCAGCTAACACACACACACACACACACACACACACACACACACACACACACACACACACACACACACACACACACACACACACACACACACACACACACACACACACACACACACACACACACACACACACACACACACACACACACACACACACACACACACACACACACACACACACAGGTTACCTGAGAAGTCCAGAGCACACACTCCTCTCTGGTGGAAACCTCTCAGCAGAGAGAGACACTTCAGAGTCTGGACGTCCCACACATGGATGGCCGGGTCCCGCCCCACCTGAACACACACATGCATGATACTAACATTAACATGTTTAAATTACATTTCGATAGTAAACTGATTGTAAGAATTATGCATGATTGATATTTGTTTAATTAACAAGCGTATCTGTGTGTGTGTGTGTGTGTGTGTGTGTGTGTGTGTGTGTGTGTGCACCTGTCCTGTAGCAGCGTAGTCCTTCAGAGGGTGGATGCTGAGGCTCAGGATGTCGTCGTCGTGTCCCAGGTAGAAGCGCTGTGTGTGCAGAGTCCGGCTGTAGACCACGCCCACCGCCGCCACGTGGTACAGCACCTCCCCCCCCCTGCGTGTAGAACAGGTTGTTTCTGCAGTCGTAACCACGGTAACTGCACACACACACACACACACACACACACACACACACACACACACCACACACACACACACACACACACACACACACACACACACATACACACACACACACACACACACACACACAAACACACACACACACACACACACACCATTTAATACCAACACACTGCTTCTTCATTGCAGAGATGGCAAAAGTACACACATCCTTTACTCAAGTAGAAGTACAGATACTCGTGTTTAAAAATACTCTGGTAGAAGTAGAAGTACTGACTAAACTTCTTTACTCAAGTAAAAGTAAAGAGGGCTTTGAAATGTACTTCAGTAAAAAGTACCCATAACTAGCAGCTGTTTTAAAGAGTACCTGACCTCCCTTTATATTAATAGAACAATAATGTCATTGTTAGCTAATGAATGTTTCCATGCTGAACAACGGCAACATGACAACGTTTTCATTGGTCCCTCTTCTTTAGAGAAGACCAGGAAATGATGGATACACGGATCGTGTTCAAATCAATAGGCACGCAATGACTCTAAATAATAATGATCACGCCACCAAACACACATTCAAACTAAAGGAACCAGCCTGTTTGGAAAATGTAAGAAGTAGAAAGTACAGGTATTTGGGTTCAAAATGTAAGAAGTAGAAAGTACAGGTATTTGGGTTCAAAATGTAAGAAGTAGAAAGTACAGGTATTTGGGTTCAAAATGTAAGAAGTAGAAAGTACAGGTATTTGGGTTCAAAATGTAAGAAGTAGAAAGTTCAGGTATTTGGGTTCAAAATGTAAGAAGTAGAAAGTACAGGTATTTGGGTTCAAAATGTAAGAAGTAGAAAGTACAGGTATTTGGGTTCAAAATGTAAGAAGTAGAAAGTACAGGTATTTGTGTTCAAAATGTAAGAAGTAGAAAGTTCAGGTATTTGTGTTCAAAATGTAAGAAGTAAAAGTAAAAAGTCCTCAGAGTGGAGTAAAGTACTGATACCAGAAACATGTACTTAAGTACAGTAACAAAGTATTTGTACTCCACTACTTCCCACCTCTGCTTAATTGGTCAATTCCCAAAAGTGCGAAGCTAACCTTTAAATGGAATTTGTCAGATTGTTGTGACGACAGAGGAAATTGTGTACACGATATTCTTGCCTTTCTGTGTTAACATTTCCGCAACTAGAAGCCACCAAGGCTAACAACTTAGTGAGCCAGCAAGCAAGGAATGTTATGCTGGAAATGCAAACAAATAAAGACAGGAAAACACATGAGGAGCTGTTTACTGATGCGATAAATCATGTTCAGAAACAGGCTCATTTTCTCATAGACTTTGATAGAATCACACTTATTTTTGCGAAGAGTAGAGTCGCCTCCTGTCCAGAGATGGCACTTTTTTAGTGGTAAGAAACAGCGTGTAAAACTGCTGTAGTGCTAACATAAAGAAGCTGATAACACGGACTAAAGGATATTTTACCCGTGTACAAACTGCAGCCGGAGGCCCTGGTCCGGTCCATTCTGTCTCTTCAGAGATCCCACCTGCTGCTTCTTCTCTCTGCTCTGCTGCCGCAACTGAGGAAGGTCCTCCTTATAAACCTGCAGGAAAACACAGAAACACAGGTAGATTGTTCAAACATATCAAATGAAGCTGAAAGTGAACATGACATTGTTAGAGTAAACAACATACTGATGATTCAGCCCCTAGTTTTGCTGCGATAGGCTTAGACTGTCGGGGGACACCTGACTTCTTCCTTCTCTCTGTCTGTACCTGTGCACTCTCATGTTCGCAATAACCCAGCTTCCCTTAAACTTCTTTTTGGTGTCTATCTACACCGGGATCCTGAGTCGTGGCTGATCCTGTTGCTGTGGTCCTGAGTCCTGATCTGAGTCCTGAGTCCTGATCTGAGTCCTGGATTTCGAGTCGTGGCTGAACCGGTCTCTGCGGTCCTGCCTGACTCTCATCATACTACTTCCCTGATGGCTCCCACAGGATTGTTGACATCCTCGTGGATTCATCTTCTTATTATAGACACATGCATTTCCAAACATTTGGTCTACCTATGTTGTAAAATGTATTATCTTTTCAATTTACACACGGCATCTATTGCACGTCTGTCCGTCCTGGGAGAGGGATCCCTCCTCTGTTGCTCTCCCTGAGGTTTCTCCCATGTTCCCCTTTAAACTGTGGGGTGTCTCTGGAAGTGTTTCCTTGTACGATGTGAGGGTCTAAGGACAGAGGGTGTCGTATTGTCATACTGATATTCTGTACAAACTGTGAAGTCCACTGAGACAAAAGTAACATTTGTGATATTGGGCTATATAAATAAACATTGATTGATTGATTGCCTTTTTTAAAGCCGTACCAGGAGGGCTTAAAAATAAATGTAAAACACATTAATATGACTTGATGTGATATTGGAGTTACCCAATTGTCCATCATAAAAAAACATCCTTAAATCGGCTTAGTAATCATAGAGTTGCTTCTTATGGCTGCAGAACTTGCCTGAGAATCATCATTTGTTAAAGGTTACTACAATATCAAAGCAATCCATGATAGCTGTCCATAGATACAGGAGCTGCAAATAGCTCATTCTGCATACTTGTAAATAAATATAGGGTCAGAGTTAGTTTGGGGTTGTAAGCCAGAGTATAACACAGAGAATACATGCAACATCACACTCACTGTTTAATGGATTTCCAAAACTAAGAGACTCTGATTAAGCCACAAACAGCAGCAACATGAAGCAGCTTATTTGCAAGTAAATGAGAAAATGTAAATAGAACATTGTTGCAGCAGCGGCTGGCGTTTGGAGATAAGGCGTATTTTTTGGCATTGTTATGGCAACTGCATAATTGGAATAACAAACGAGACATACACACTCTGCAGTAAAAACACGTTTAAACACCAGAGCTGCAGGAGGAGTGCAGTGCCTTGCTCATGGGTCAGTACCTGTCTGTCGTAGTTGATCTGCGTCTCCTGCTCGATGTCAGAGTCGAGCTCCGGGACGTCCGACACGTCGCTGTCCGACTCCTCGCTGTTCGAGTCCCCGTGACTGTCTGCAACACACACACACACACACACACACACACACACACACACACACACACACACACACACACACACACACACACACACACACACACACACACACACACACACACACACACACACACACACACACACACACACACACACACACACACACACACACACACACACCACACACAGGTTTTGTTTATGTTTATCTGGTAAAAATCTGGATTTCTGCTTCTGCACTTTAAACTCTTGGGGTAGATTTTTAAGCATATAATGGGGGCTTGGCTGTCTATAGATAAAGACGGCTAATTTTAATTCTCCCCAAATATATTGAGGCTGAGCCTGATCGCGGATAGGAAGAAACGGCCCTTAACACCATGGACTATAAATGACTACGGACTCTTATATGGAACGCGTCACAGCAAAGAGCAACGTTTCCGCCCCTCAGTTGCTAAACTAATCTCTCCCTGCCTGCCCACCTTGGATGTTGATGTCCGGTCCTCCGTTCATGATTGACTCCGGGAGAAACCTCCACTGGAAGAGGGCGTGGTCGGCTCCGCCCGTCGTCAGCACCCACTGCAGGTCATGTGACCAGCGGACGTTAGTGACGTGTGCAGAGTGACCAATGTACTTCTTGAATTTGGCACCTTGGAAAAAACTGATATTTAGTAACATAACAGAGACAAAAAGAAAGTACAAATGTCTGGAGAAAATTAGGAGACTGCTGCAAAAAGATTGTTTTCAGTAGCGACAACCTAAGGAATCTTTGGGAGGAAGATGGATGGTCACAAGTTATTAAACAAAGCCAAGATTCTTGATTAGTTTTACCCCAGAATTTACCAAAAATCACATTAGTACACCAAGTATTGGTCTTTAAACTTCTCCTATGTTACACCAATAGCATTGAGGTGGGTAATAAGTAATTAGAGAGTAATAAAAAGGTTACATTTTACTAAAACACATACCTTTAAAATGTAAAAATAAAATGATTTAGCAGTAATGTAACATTAAGGTTTTAATAAATGTAGAGACCTTTTAAATTTGTGATTATATCAAGATAAAAGCAGAGACCTTTCCGGTGGCAGGGGAAGCGGAAGAGCTTAACGAGGCCGAGGTCGTCCCCGGTAACGAGCACGGCGGCTGACAGATTCGCGTCCACGGCGTTGATTTCCGTTAGATTGGAGTATTTTGGCCAGATGCCGCTGACGTCGGAGCCCAGGACGCCGCTCCAGGTCGCCCAGCTCTGACCTTTGACCTCCTCCTTACTGACCAACGGCTTCCCCACTGACAGAAAGGAAAACAGTTTGAGATATAGTATTTTTTTATCTCTCTACATGTTGGCAAGACAAGGCAAGTTTATGTATATAACCCATTTTGAAAACAAAAAAATTCTAGGTAAATAAATAGCTGTATAAGACAGAAGGAAGATAAAAGGAAATGTGTGGATGTTACAGATTTTAATCTTATGCACTGTTGCAGTGGAGTTGCAGTTGTGGTTTCTCTTTTTGTATATTTTTAGTTAAATCTTTTGTGGAGATAATAAAAATGTTGTTATGTTACATCAGAAACCCACATAGTCTCCTACAATCTTGAGTGTGTGTGTGGTGTGTGTGTGTGTGTTCTTCAGTATGCTTCGATGTTTTAGGAACCCGTCTTTTTCCTTGTCAAATTATGATTGTATCTCAATGTATTTGGATTTTCCTTCATAAAAAAAAGAAATGTACCTTCAGACAAAGGTTGTTTTTTAATTTGTAAACATTTAATTTTAAGATTTTTTTCATTTTTACATAATGATGAACAGCCTTGTACCTTAAAGTGCACCTATCATGCTATTTTTAGGCAATAGATATATAAATAAATCTATTTCACTTCCTGTTTCAAAAGTGCTGATTTGGGGTATAAAGCTTTAGAAAAAAGTGATACAAATAAAAAAGGAGGGGGCTGAGCTCATGCGGGACCCGGCAGCTACTGTCTAAACTAAATGCTGCCGTGATGAAACGCCATATCATGGATTATCAAGGATTATTTCTGAAACAGTATGGAGCTCAAAGGCTTTCTCTCTTGCCGGTTATACCACAAGGTGAGTTCCTTTTTATTTCCTGCTTCTTCACACACATGCTCTCCAGTACAGGTTAGCTCTGAGTGTTAGCGATGCTAATGTAAACACCGACCATATTACGTCCAAAACAGTCAGGCATTGTTTCTGATAGCAACGTTTCTGATAGGGCCGTGGGTCCACATTTCAGATATTACGTCATATCGGACGCAAATCTGGATCAGCTCCGTTGTAGCCCCGTTTTTAGAGATTTGGGTACGGAGGAAAAGAGAGGGTTTTATTTTCTGACGCTGCGTGAGTTCCCTGACACACCGGGGACACTTATTTATGTATAAAAGACATCAAAAAGTGCATTTTGCATGATAGGTCCCCTTTAAGAGTTCTTCTTGCCATATAAGGTAGAAAAAATGCTCTCTAAAATTCAGATTATTCTGTACTCACTAGGCATGCGGTAGAAGAATCGCTCTCCCGCTCCGTCATTGGTCTGCAGGATTTTACTGTCCAGAGACCAGTCCAGGTGAGTGATGAAGCTGGAGGAGTTACTGTTACACTCTCCTACCTGCACACACACGGGAAATAATCAAATAACAAATTAAGGTTCAAACAGTCAAAGGCTTTCTACAATGGAGAAACTGTCACAAACTTTATTTCTCTCCAGGAGAAATAAAGTATTTTGATTTTAACTTCAAGACATTTTTGGTTGCTTTTTCAAATGTATTTTTCCCGTTTTAATCACCACTAGGGAAGTGCTATGATCTAGCTCCATTATCTTTATAAAAGTCAGACAACTCTATATATCCTTTATTTAACCAGGTAAAAAGTGTCATTGAGATTCAAATCTCTTTTCTAAGAGCGACCTGGCCAAGAAGGGCAGCATGAACAAAGTTACAACGGATAAAACACAGACAATACAGGCAGACGAATACAGTGGTCGTAAAACACAAATGAAATGGCACATTAACCAGTCACAGGGTATATGCAGGAATCCTGAAGTCACATTTAATACCTTTTAAGACCCTTTCCATACTTTTTAAGACCTCATCGCCACTTTGAGTTCTAACCGGTTACATTGGCGACACACTTTACCTCACATTGACTATATACAGTATTGATTGTCCTTCCTCCTTATCTTCCAACCATTTGGACGCAGACTTGCATTTCCCCATAACGATGTTGTTTAACAACCGGCGTAAACGGACCTCCGCGCGCTATCAAGCAGTGAGCGTGCGATGTCCTGTTCAGATGACGTCAAATCCAACGGGATGCCATAAATAAACTACACAGAATCACACTACACACCTACGCAATGATTACATTCAGGCAGACTGTAGAATACAACCTCTTTGGACAATTTATATACTTATTGGAAACAAGCTACAAAATGTAATACCTTGGAAAATGCTGTTTAATACTTTTTAATACTTTTTAATAGCCTTAATTTTCGCTAAATTGATTTATCAACTTTTAATACTTTTTAAGACCCCGCGGGCACCCTGTGTCAATATGCAAATAAAATAAACTATTATAAATCATAAAAAACTGGCAAAATTTTAAACGACTTCAATTAAAGGTGGGGTAGGTAAGTTTGAGAAACCGGCTCGAGATACACTTGTTGTTATATTCCATGGAATACTCTTAACATCCCGATAGCAATGAATATCTTAAGTGCTTTGACAAAAAATCCATAAAAAAATGTCATCTGTGGAAGCCGTAGTACTGTAAAAAGCACGACCAATCATCTGAGCCGGCCCGGCTAAAATAACTGGATGGCCTACCTGCCTGTCAGCCTTCCATCTGTGCACAAACTTATCTCGTGCCCTCATTGGTCATGTGCGCGTTCGTGTGTGTTGGAGGAGGGGCTCTGTAAGGAAGTGGCAGATTTTTTCCGGCTGTGTATTTTCAAATTCTAGCGATCTCGAGCCGGTTTCTCCAAAATGACCTACCCCACCTTTAAGGGATATACGAGCAATCACATCGACCAATGGATTCTTGTTCTCTGTCCTTTAAGATGGACTTAAACTCCCCCAAAGTGATCAAATCTGAGAGTTTCAGGTCCTTCTGTACATTATTCCAAGCATAATGGGCAGCATATTTAAAAGCTTTTTTACCCAGTTCTGTTCTTACTTTAGGAACCAGCATCTGAATAAAATCTTGGGAGCGCAGGCCATATAGACTTAGTTTTTTACACATATATGTGCAAACTCTACTGACAATGTCTCCAAAACTCTGCATCTCACACCAACACCCTGTAGATTTATAGATAGCACTAAAAGTACAATGATAAATTATTTTTTATAAATTCTTCCTTATATTTTGGTAATAACCTCCTTCCTCACCTTCTTGTATCTCTGGGCGACAGCGTAGATGTCCACTAATCCGTCGTTGGAGCCGACAGCGATGTACGCTCCGTCCGGAGAAAACTTCATCTCATGGATCACCTCCTTCCTGTCCTTGATGTGGACCACCTCCGTCATGTCTCTAAACAAACAAACAAACAAAAAACAACAACACTCTGTTAATGCCTCAGTACAACTAATCTATCAGCAGTTGTAGAATGAAGAACATTTAATCACGTATTTAAAGTGGACCTATCATGCTATATTATAATAATATATTGTAGGACCATACCTATATAAGGCATATTTATACTTTTTTTTTTTCAAAATACCAAACAGATCATGCATTTTAGCCATGCCTTATTTCGCTCAATTTGCACTTTTAAACCCCTGTTTTTGCAAGGGCAGATTCAGTGAGAACAGCACCACCTACAGGCCTGGCATATGTACTACAGCATCTCCAGCGCTTTCGAACGGCAATGGCCGTGGCTGTCTCCTCCTGATTGGTGGAGTTGGCCCAATAGCCGTAGCGCCACCGTCCTGACGTCAGGAAAGTGTTCAAATCTGGATCAGTTTTTATCAGATCCGTTGCAGCCCCTTTTTTAGAGATTTGGGTATGGAGGAAAATAGAGAGGGTTGTGTTTTCTGACACTTGGTGAGTTCCCTGGAACACCGGGGACACATATTCATGTATAAAAGATGTACAAAAGTGCATTTTGCATGATAGGTCCCCTTTAAATATACATTTGAGGTACTTAAGCACCATTTCATGTTACTTTATACTTCCACTCCACTAAACCTCAGAGGTAAATATCATACTTTCTACTACATTTAATACATACCTGTAGTTTTAACATATTTAACATGATGGACCAGTACTCTACAAACTCTAATGAGCAATTAGTGATATTTGTGTATATAAAGTGTTACCACAACATGATTTAAAAACTAATCTAGAATTACGTTTCTGAGGATGAGGTTTCCAGAGCACAAGGGGAGTTAGCAGAGCTTTTCTCGTGTGTGTGTGTGTGTGTGTGTGTGTGTGTGTGTGTGTGTGTGTGTGTGTGTGTGTGTGTGTTTGAGCTACCTGACTCTCAGCACAGTGAAAGATCCGTCCTTCATGCCCAGAGCCAGCTGGTATCCGTCCACGCTGAAGGCCACGCTCCGCACCGCCTCCTCCATGTTGCAGCGAGCGATGAGGGCGTGATCCACCAGACTCCACAACCTGAGACACACACACACACCCACCCACCCACACACACACACACACACACACACACACACACACACACACACACACACACACACACACACACACACACACACACACACACACACACACACACACACACACACACACACACACCCACACACACACACACACACACACACACACACACACACACACACACACACACACACACACACACACACACACACACACACACACACACACACACATTTATAGAGATATGGAGCCACTGTGTCACATAACAGGACAGCTTTTGAAAATAAATTAAACGTTTCAAAATGTTCATATGAAAATAGAAAACAATAAATCCAATAAAAAGAGGTGTGTCTTATTTGTCCAGTGAAGTAATACAATCCTGCATTTATTTGAAGCCATAAGGTCACATGCGATGGACACTTTTGAACAAAATCTAAGTTTTTATTTACAGAAACGGCAAACTAAGGAAGATCGCAGTGAATTTCTGTTGAAAGTCCAACCTGAACCTAACTTCCCCTCATTGGCAGATCTCTTCTCACTGACCTGACGGAGCGGTCGTCGCTGCCGGTGACGGCCAGAGCTTTTTTGGGGTGAACGTCCAGCGCCCAGAGCTCTCCCTCGCTGTGACCCTGCATGATCAGCAGGGGCTTGTCCCGATCCCGCACCATCACCTACACACACACACATATACACACACACATGCACACACATGCACACACACACACACACACACACACACACACACACACACACACACACACACACCACACACACACACACACACACACACACACACACACACACACACACACACACACACACACACACACACACACACACACACACACACAGACAGACAGACAGACAGACAGAATATAAATAGTACAGAATAGTCTATATACAGAGCAGAAATAGTGCAGACATGAGAACAAGGTAAACATTTTTACTGATACTAAACAATCATGAAAAGTTTTCTTGAATTTCATGTTTCTTTTTTTACTTTTAGCTTCTCATTTCATGTAATAGTGCTCCAGAAGTCACGTGACCCTTACTACAACAAACCATGTCATGTGACTCGATGACTGTAAATCAATGCAGCATTGTATCATTACATAGGACACAGCTTTGTAGACTGATTATTATACGTACAGGACAATATTTAAGATACTTTGAACTTAAACTTTGAATACTCAACTTTTAACTACGTGTTTAAAACTGAAAATGGGACAATTTATGTGTATTGCTTATGCACATATATATTTTTGATTCCTCTCTCACCTCAAAGATCTCGCTGTCCTGCGTTCCTGCCAGGATCCGGTCGGCCCGCCAGCAGACGCTGCGAATAGATAAAGCTGGAAGAGGAAGAGAGAATAGAGAGAGGATTCATTCAGCTGTGGAAAAACTGTCAGAATATCTGGAGAAACAACTCTGTTTTGTGCTCAGTGTTGAGACGGATGTTGAGGAGGTTATTGAGGTAAAGAAGACGAGAACAGGCTGGAAATGTGAAGCTACTGTAGTTCTCTCTTGTTTAGAGAATATTAAATCTAGCTAGAAGTCAAGAAAGTGCTAAAAACAGGAAACCAGAGCGATGATTATTGTTTTTGATTTGCTTAGCTCTCATTAACTCACTTTCCTCACTGTGTTTTATTGCTGAGCCGCAGGAGAAGGACAGCAACACAAAGAGAATGTTTCCTAGGACTTTTGAATTGAATTAAATAAATGTTATTTATCTTACACGGTTTGAGGACGCACGCACGCACGCACGCACGCACGCACGCACGCACGCACGCACGCACGCACGCACGCACGCACGCACGCACGCACGCACGCACGCACGCACGCACTCAGCGTGTGAGGTTTCCTGTAACTCTGTTAGAAACTCCTCTCTGCAGAGTCAGGAGCCAAAACAACCTGAAACCAGATCGGTTTATGGAGCAAATTGCAAGATTTACGGTGTCGGAAGGACCTCTGATATGTTATCTGAGAGGTGTTGATAACAGCAAGAGAGGAAAGGCTTCTGCAGAATGTGAGAAAATACAGATTATCACCTGCTTTCATTTCACGTTGACACCTCCTCGTCCTCCTCACTCTCTGCTCCTGAGACTTTGGTTTATTGGTGTTTGTTCTGCTGCTCACTGAGGTTTTGTTTATTCTCATATTGCTCGAACATCTGTCAGCAGTGTGGGAGCGCAGCCATGATGACAAATTAAATTATGCTTTTCTTGTCTGGCTTGAATACAAACAGGTCTTTTTTTTTTTAAAGGTATAAGGTTTAAATATATAAAAACGACTAAACCTATTTTTATGTTTTCTATGTGTGTTATGTTTTGTTGAGTTGTGTACACATTATCCCACATGTTTCAGAGACATGTGTCATTTTAATCAACATAATGGAGTGTTTCATCAGATGCTGTATTAGAGACATTGTAGGTGGAAACAAAACTCATTTTAAATAAATAAAGAGATGGTTTAATATTCCTGGAAAATAAATGTTTGAAGATTAAAGTGGATTATTTAGGGACATAAAGACATGAACATACTCATAAATGTATGCTTTTTGGGAGATTCCCTGCACTGTAGTTTGTTATATAGTAATATAGATTTTGGTGCATGTAAATGGTCTGCAAAATCCCTGTGTTCTCTCCCGAGCGAGTTTCTCTCCCAACTGGGCTCTGGTTTCAGACAGAGGGTGAAAAGAGGTGCTGCAGAACAGGCAGTATGAGAAAAATAACGAGCTTTTTTTAACATTATAGCATGGAGACATGTCCCAGTAGAGACACTACATACTGATATACACCTGAACATCAGCAGGAGAGGACTCTTTAAAGTAGAGACACTACATACTGATATACACCTGAACATCATCAGGAGAGTACTCTTTAAAGTAGAGACACTACATACTGATATACACCTGAACATCAGCAGGAGAGGACTCTTTAAAGTAGAGACACTACATACTGATATACACCTGAACATCAGCAGGAGAGGACTCTTTAAAGTAGAGACACTACATACTGATATACACCTGAACATCAGCAGGAGAGGACTCTTTAAAGTAGAGACACTACATACTGATATACACCTGAACATCAGCAGGAGAGGACTCTTTAAAGTAGAGACACTACATACTGATATACACCTGAACATCAGCAGGAGAGGACTCTTTAAAGTAGAGACACTACATACCGATATACACCTGAACATCAGCAGGAGAGGACTCTTTAAAGTAGAGACACTACATACTGATATACACCTGAACATCAGCAGGAGAGGACTCTTTAAAGTAGAGACACTACATACTGATATACACCTGAACATCAGCAGGAGAGGACTCTTTAAAGTAGAGACACTACATACTGATATACACCTGAACATCAGCAGGAGAGAACTCTTTAAAGTAGAGACACTACATACTGATATACACCTGAACATCAGCAGGAGAGGACTCTTTAAAGTAGAGACACTACATACTGATATACACCTGAACATCAGCAGGAGAGAACTCTTTAAAGTAGAGACACTACATACTGATATACACCTGAACATCAGCAGGAGAGAACTCTTTAAAGTAGAGACACTACATACTGATATACACCTGAACATCAGCAGGAGAGAACTCTTTCATGGTTAAAGCCTGCAGCTTTTCCTGAGTGAATAACCTCTGGAGAATGGCACTCAGGAGTTTCAACATTCACCATCTCTGTGCTTTTTCATGAAATTCACAAACTTTTACACCCCCAGCTCTCCTGAAAACTTCCTCTCAGAAACTTTCAGAAGAGAAACTGAAAATCAGGTCAGACCTGTCAATCTTCCCCCACAAATATCTTCAGAGGGAAAAGCAAGATACTGAAATAGAGGTGAAGGATTCGAGTTATCACCTCCTCTGCATCTTTTTCTAAAGCGCCTCAACCTTCAACTAACAAAGGAGTCTGAGACTGAATGAGGAGGATGACGTGCAGAGTTTGCCTTTAGCAACAGAGATGTGGTGATATTTCACCTCTGTGGGTTTGAATAGGGTTTGAAGCAAAGGTTTATAAAAGGGTTGCACAAAAGAACCAGAAAGGCCAGAGCTCTCATTAAGAGAAGAGCTTGACATGTCTCACACAGACACACAACAAAAGTAGTGAGAGATATCTTCCAGCTGTTAAACGTTTAAAAAAGAAATCAGGGTTGGTGCTTAAAAAGTCTCTGTTGTCTGAAATTAAGACTTAAATAAATCCAAAAAACTCTTAATGCGGTTGTACAATTTCTTACTGTTGTTTTGCTGCAAAAAATCAGGTGCGTCTGTCGTTTTTTTACATTTGCTTGAGGTAAGACAGAACAAATCCAAAATAATACACTGGTATTTTCAGTACTAAAAATGCAGTAAATGTTAAAACATCGTTCAGAAACTGTATAATAAATACTAACATATTCATGTTGTGGAGAAGCAAACAGCTAGTTGCATTTAAAGATTTCTAACTGTGCTAAGGTAACATTTTGCATACTTTTCAGTAGCATTACTAACTATTTTAAGGTTACTTTTTGGTAGCATTACTAACCATGCTAACGTTACTTTTCAGTAGCATTGCTAACTATGCTAACGTCACTTTTTGCATACTTTTCAGTAGCATTGCTAACAATGCTAACGTTACTTTTCAGTAGCATTGCTAACCATGCTAACATTACTTTTCAGTAGCATTGCTAACTATGCTAACATCACTTTTTGCGTACTTTTCAGTAGCATTGCTAACCATGCTAACGTTACTTTTCGGTAGCAATGCTAACCATGCTAACGTTACTTTTCAGTAGCATTGCTAACTATGCTAACGTCACTTTTTGCGTACTTTTCAGTAGCATTGCTAACAATGGTAACGTTACTTTTCAGTAGCATTAGCCGTTTTCACACCAAGTACTTTGCCGTACTTAGTTCCCAGCACTTAGTTCCCAGCACTTACGGACCGTCCACACAGCAGCGTTAAAACATCTTGAAACGCTTCTGCCCATTCACTTTGAATGGGGTGGCGTCATCACGAACTGCATTGTGGGCAGGCGAGCGGAGATTTTCAGGATTTTCAGGATTTTCAGGATTCAAAGTTGAGCAATGTTCAACTTTTGAAGCTGAGGTGGAAGCGTCAGCCAATCAAATCCCGTGTATGCAAATCTGACAGTTCAAGTGCTAGCCAATCAAACCGCGTGTATGCTGGGAGAGACATACTGCAGGTCATTTCCTCATATTCCAAAAAATGGAGGAGAAATTAGCGGGAGGGAATCACCCGGTGCTTTATGACCAGTCCCTATTTACCTACCGGGATATAAACCGGAGGAGCCAGGCATGGAGGGAGGTGGCAGAGACAGTGGTAGGTTTTCGCCTGTTTGGGGAGTTTATATCCAGTTTACTTCAAACTTTTTTGCTTCGTATGTCGGGGTCGGGAGATTCATGTGATTGGTTGTTGGTGCCTTGCTCGCAAAAAATCCCCAAGCTTCAGATACGCCCACCTCCAAGATTTTTTTTAACGCTGCTGTGTGGACGGTCCGTTACTGTAGTTCCCCCATGGAACTAAAGAGCAGATCGCATTCACACCGGAATAAGTCCCTGAGGGAAGATTACGCAAATGAGATTACGCAAATGAAGCCGCTGACGTCACTTCTTCTTCTTCTGCTTTGGGTTTACTGGCAGGCCGCAAACCATATACTGCCACCCGAAGTCCCCGGCCGGAAGTCCCCATGCTAACATTACTTTTCAGTAGCATTGCTAACTATGCTAACGTCACTTTTTGCGCACTTTTCAGTAGCATTGCTAACCATGCTAATGTTACTTTTCAGTAGCATTGCTAACCATGCTAACGTTACTTTTCAGTAGCATTGCTAACTATGCTAACGTCACTTTTTGCACATCATAGCGCTCCCTGAGTCTCCTGAAGCCAGACACATATACAAGGGCTCTATATTGTCCATTCAAACTAAACTAATATAATATTTTAACAGTTTTTATAGTTTTTTGTATTGCTGAGTACCTTTGTACCCCTGCTCGGCCTCTCGAAGGTCGATCTTGGTGATGGGTTTGAAGTCTGGGTCCCAAAGTCTGATGCAGCCGTCTCTGCCTCCTGTGGCGAAACCTTCCTCACAGGAATACATGCTGAAGATACCGGCCTGAACACACACACACACACACACACACACACACACACACACACACACACACACACACACACACACACACACACACACACACACACACACACACACACACACACACACACACACACACACACACACACACACACACACACACACACACACACACACACACACCAATTAATATGTTCTGGATCAGAGCTTTTGGTGGCTGATTTCTTCCAGTAGATTTACACCAAGTGTTTGTAAAACTTTAGTGGAAAGTTTCTTATCAGGGAAATAAAATGATCTACATTTTAATTTTTTTTAAATGCTAAGATTGGTTTGTTAAAACAAATCTTGCACAAAGTTTCCCTTGCCTGTTAGCCACTGGAAGTTCATTTAACTCATGGGAAATGTCTGTGCTGCAGTTTGCACTGTATAAACCACAATGGCAAAAATATGGTAAACAGTTGTTGAGGCAGATCCCAGCATAAAAAACTATTTTTGTTGGTATTAACTCATTTATTTTAATACACTATACATACAGTATAAAGGGCTGAAACAACAGGAATATATTCTGCTGGTGAACTGACAAGAGGAACGTGTTTTTGACTGCAGCTTTATTTATTTTAATGAATTTAAAAACGTACCCCGTGTGCAGCCTGGACGGTTCGGATGAGGTTGAGCAGCTTCCAGACGTAAATGTCTCCGTTGAGCGCCCCGGAGTAAGTGAGGTCATCTTTAGCCGACGCCAGGCACAGGATGGTCTGCAGGTCGCCCGTCTTCCCAAAAATCCCTCGCTTTGGAGTGAGAGCGTTTCCACACAGAGACCAGAACTACGGAGACAGAGGGGGGACACTTTCAGAAAGATAACAAGAGACACTACAGGTGAATAGGGTACAAACTTTTTTTATTTTTTTTATTGTTTATGTTCGCACCACCAGACACCAAAGCAAATTCCTTGTATGTGTAAACGTACCTGGCAATAAACTTGATTCTGATTCTGAAAATGTAACTAATAGATTTCACCATCAAACGTCCCCAGTTCATTACCTTAAATAAGGCTTTAATGCTATTATGCTATTTTTGGAGAGAGAAATCTACAGTCCCAAATATTTAAAGCTGCTGAAAAACACCTAAATGTGTGTTTTAAATACTATCTTTCCACCTGGAGTGTGTGTGTGTGTGTGTATTAGTTTATGTGTGTGTTTAAATTTAAGTGTGTGTGTTGTATTACCTTGATGTGTTTGACTCCACAGCTCACCAGACGGCTCTGTTGACACGGATCCCAGCTGATGTCAAAAATCTGGAGGACAGAGAAGATGTTATTACACACACACTGACGCACACACACACACACACACACACTGACGCACACACACACACACTGACGCACACACACACACACACACACACTGACGCACACACACACACACACACTACCACACACACTGACGCACACACACACACACACACACACACACACACACACACACACACACACACACACACACACACACACACACACACACACACACACACACACACACACACACACACACACACACACACACACACACACACACACACACACACACACACCCTGTCTGAGTGTCCGGTGGCTGTAGCGAGGATCTTTCCTCTTTTCCACTCCCAGATACACAAAGTGTTTTTGGCATCGAGGCCAATCGAGGCTAAACGCTGCAAATAAAGAGATAAGGAATAATAATATTAAACCAGTTGCATTGAACTACTTAAACTGTATCATTACAATATGAATCATGTGTTACTTTGCAAGAGTGAATATAGTGGGATACAGGGGAAATAGAGATACTTTCAAAATAAAAGTCTCCTTGTTGATGAAATGCAAAAAATTGAGAAGTCTCTTGAAATTGTATATACTATATATTTTTACATTTTTATTTTATCCCCAGGTTGGTTTGTATTGTTTTTGTTTAATGTTGTTGTTAATCAGCTGTTTTTGTTTAACCTTGTCAAGAAATGTTTGATTTTATTCATCAATTTAGATTATTTTCTTTATATGATGGAGATTTTAATACTTTATCATGCTATTTGTAGGCAATAGCATAGGTCTCAGATATATAAAAATATATAAAAAACATGTCTATGAAGTGTTTTGCTCAAAATACCAAACAGATCACCCATTCTAGCCATGCCTCATATCCCTCTATTTATCTTCCTGTTTCAAAAGTGCTGATTTTGGGTATAAAGCTTTTAAAAAATATAAATGGAGGGGGCTGAGCTCATGCGGGACCCGGCAGCTACTGTCTAAACTAAATACTGCGGTGATGAAACGCCATATCATGGATTATCAAGGATCATTTCTGAAACAGTATGGAGCTCAAAGGCTTTCTCTCTTGCCGGTTATACCACAAGGTGAGTTCCTTTTTATTTCCTGCTTCTTCACACACATGCTCTCCAGTACAGGTTAGCTCTGAGTGTTAGCGATGCTAATGTAAACACCGACCATATTACGTCCAAAACAGTCGGGCATTGTTTCTGATAGCAACGTTTCTGATAGTGCCGTGGGTCCACATTTCAGATATTACGTCATATCGGACGCAAATCTGGATCAGCTCCGTTGTTGCCCCGTTTTTAGAGATTTGGGTACGGAGGAAAGAGAGAGGGTTTTATTTTCTGACGCTGCGTGAGTTCCCTGACACACCGGGGACACATATTTATGTATAAAAGACATCAAAAAGTGCATTTTGCATGATAGGTCCCCTTTAAAGACATATGAACCATCTGGATTACATATATATAAACATTAATATCATTTTTTTGTCATATATTGAGCAATGAACCCGGTGTTGGTTTATTTTTCAGGGCTTTTATTTGTTTACTTAAAGCATTGTGTTTGAAAAGATAAAGTTAAAGTTATTATTTATTGATTTGAATTCAAATTCGGACCAAAACAGATCTTTTAGCAGCTCTACTCCAAATGACATTTGATTTTTGAAGGGCAGCAGCAGTGCAGAAGGCATTATTAAAAGTGTTTCAGGCTCTTCATAATAAATCAGCTGCACCGAAGCCTGAGCGCTTGATTTATTATTCAGATGGATTTATGATTATTTTATTGATTCTATGTTTAATCTGATTTACTCACAGCTGCCGGCCAGAAGCAAAATCTGCCGACACATCAGAGTGGATCTTTTACAGTCACTTCACTACTACTTGTTCTGTTTTGGTCTTTTTTCTTAGCCAGAAGGAAATATGTCCTCAGAGCTAAAGAAAGCAAAACGTCATGCATTTTATTTATTTATCTAAAAGCCTGAGGTCAATTGTTTTCTGCCTCAGCAAAATCCACTTTAAATCCCACTTACTGGACAATATTTGGAGTGTTTTCACAGGACGTTTAAATGTGTCTGCTCCTAATTTATAGGGTTGTGGCTTTTTGATCAGTTTATTGTATTAAATCACAGCTAAATCTGCCTCTTTTAGGTAATAAAGCAGATTAATTCAACACTTTGCTTAATGCACAAGCATCCTGTTTTATAGCCTGCCCTTAACATACTAACTTTGTACTCAAATAATACATTTTGTGATAATAAATTGACTTCAGAGACATGTATTTGAGTTTTCCTCAGTGTCTATGTTGTGTGTGAACTTCGTGTACATCAGGTGTGTTGTGTCTTGCCCTTTTTCAGCCACCAATTGTCCAAGTTACTGAACCAAAGTGATAAATTACAATAATTATCATCTTCATTTGTCCTTCCCCTCCTTTGTCCTGCTCTCAGTGTGTGTGTGTGTGTGTGTGTGTGTGTGTGTGTGTGTGTGTGTGTGTGTGTGTGTGTGTGTGGCTTTATTATTCAATGACCTTTAAGTTGATGTATGAGTGTCCTTTTATGACAAAAACCATCTGTTGGCCCCTCACACACAGCAGACAGATAGGTGTGCTGGGTGAATCACATCATGCATCATTAATCTGGCTCACTGTGTGTGTGTGTGTGTGTGTGTGTGTGTGTGTGTGTGTGTGTGTGTGTGTGTGTGTGTGTGTGTGTCACCTGTCCGTCAGCGCTGAATGCGAGGCAGGCGATGCCGTGTGTGTGTCCGTCGCGCAGCAGAGAGACGGTGGTCACGGTGAAGGAGTCCCACACACACACGTAGGGTTCCTTGCCCACCTGACCCGTGGCCACCAGGGAGCGCTCAGGGTGCAACGCCAGGCTGGAGGGGGGGGGGGGGGGGGGGGGGGGGGAGATAGACTTAGATAAATAAACATATTCAACATTTTACCATCTGATCATGGATCAATTGCTGGGCTGAAGGGCCAGAGGCTCCGTTTGCAAACATTTCTTGTTGGGAAGGCATAAAAATACACAACACTACCTGAGCTATGACCAAAACAAAACTGAAAATGAACACAAAGAGAAACAATTGGACCCCCAAGAGGCACAAAACATCCACAAAGAGATGTAAAAGGAGTCACAAATAAACCCAAAATGTGACCAAAAAGAAAGCACAAAATGACCACGATGTGCAAAATGAGCAAAAAGAGAGACAGATAATATGGCCAAAGAGAGACACAAAACTACTAAAAAAGTAACAAATCAACTAAATAGAGACAGAATATACCTGGAAATGATACAAAATGACTAGAAGGGGACAAAACAACACCAAATATGCACACAATTATCTACAAACAGACACAAAGACATGCAAAATGACTACAAAATGACTCAAAAGAACCTAAAAGAGTAACACAATGACTAGAGACTCTAAACAGACAAAAAGAGTCTGAATACAACCACAAACATGTTTTATTTTTCTGTCTGTTAACTTCAAATATGACACAAAAATAGAAAATAACTTGATGTGTCCTTAGATCCACTTTTAGTTCAGACAAAACACTTTTTATAAACCTGTCTCTGTCTCCCTCGCTATCTCTCGGGGGGTCAGAGTGTGTTTTACAAAGAGATCGCTATAAAGACACTCACTGCTTAATGGCATCATTATAAACACACACACACACACACACACACACACACACACACACACACACACACACACACACACACACACACACACACACACACACACACACACACACACACACACACACACACACACACACACACACACACACACACAGTCTCCACTCTGTTGATGGAGTAATGATCCCTGATGTTTGATGTGTGTGTGTGTGTGTGTGTGTGTGTGTGTGTGTGTGTGTGTGTGTGTGTGTGTGTGTGTGTGTGTGTGTGTGTGTGTGTGTGTGTGTGTGTGTGTGTGTGTGTCAGAAGTGACCTTGGCGCCCCCCTCTTCACTTTCAGCAGCAGATTTGACATCAACAGACCTTTTGTTTATTTATTCTAATATAAGCCATCACAGGTTTCTAAAACACCCTCACACACTTATGTATTAATTATAATCATTTTAATAAATATTATTTTTACAAATGTTCATATGTTGTTTTTTATTCATAAACGCAATTGTACTTTGGCAACAGATGGCAAATAGTGTGCCAATATAGTGAATATGTGTGTGTGTGTGTGTGTGTGTGTGTGTGTGTGTGTGGTGGGGAAAGGTCACTGTTGCTTTGCAGATGTGTGTTAAACATAGAACAGAAATAGACAGGTGTGTCAGCCACAAAGCCCCATTGATGCTGTCTGCTCAGCACACACACACACACACACACACACACACACACACACACACACACACACACACCCCTCATCCACAACCAGCCAGCCAATGGGCCTTCTTGCTGCCTTGGTTGCCATGACAACTCCATCGTCAAGGGCAGTAGAGGCTGAGACAACTGAAGAGTCAAGGTCAAACATCACAAAACACACACACATGCACACACCTGCCATCATCTCTCTGTTTCCTGATACATGACAACTTTCTTTAAAAAAATATATTCATCATTATTTATCAGAAGCTTTTGTTTTGTTTCTACACATTTAAGACATAGGGCTTTTATTTTTGAAAGTATCAACATGCTTGTGTGTGTGTTTCAGATGTTCTTCTTCTCATACTGCCTGTGCTGCAGCATCTCTTTTCACCAAGCCTCCAGGAAGTGCGCCGGACTCTGAGGAAAATATTCGTTGTGGCCAAACGGCGGTACTACAATTTCCGTATCAGTCGCTGGGCCCGGAAACACTTTTTCCCATTGACTAACATTGGGAAAGAGACGTCTGTAAACCGTTTTAAACTAAATAAACTACCCAGAATGAACGCTTGTATAGCCCTTATTAAAAACATTCGGTCCTCAAGTTGTAAAATGTGCTAATAACGTTATTCTGAGAGTTATTTTCCTCGGCTTTATGAACGTGCATCCAACCCACGGGACCGCGCCGCCCGGCACGTTCATGTGACGTGTTCACTGTTCAGTACTACATGAGTTTTACCTTTACCCATGGATGCACAATAAGAACGGATTATATGATTATATGAATACTTTCGTGACGTTTCGCTCTCTCAAAAGTTGGGCCATTTTGTCTTCATGCGCCAATGAGCAACTCTCATAGGAATGAACGAGGCCCCGCCTCCCACGCTGTATCCAGTTCTTATTATCCATCCATGCTTTTCACCCTCTGTCTGAAACCAGAGCCCAGTCTGCTCTGATTGGTTAGCTGGCCGGCTCTGTTGTGATTGGTCAACCACTTAGAAATGTCCCGCTCCTTAGCCTATCACGTACAATGTGTTGGAGTGTTAGCCAATAGAATCGCGAGTGTTACACACTGATGTCAATGTGTTCAGGAAGTAAACAAAGGAGTCCAATGGAGGGGCATTTGCAGACCATTTACATGCACACACACACCTATAGAACACACTATAGGAAAGGTGAATATTATACCAAAAATAAATGTGAATTATGTAAGTGAATTTGGATTGCCTACTAAACTTGTTTCTTGACTTATGCCAGTATGACACCTTTTCTTATCAACTCAAACAAAAGCTGAAAGAAATCTCTGAAGGTTTTCTCCAGTCTAAAGGAGACCGTGAAAGGAAAAATAATGAGCCAAGAAATCAATCAATGTGGAGATAAAAGTCCTGTCTGTGTGGGAGGGAGAATAATGGAGACGTGAATAGAAGCCATTAGAAAGACATCAATAAAAAAAAAGGTTATGTGTTGAACCATCAGATAGTTCAACAGGTTTATACTGAAGAAGAAGTCTTAATGATGAAGGTACAGATACTTATGTGCCAGGATTTAAGAAGCAGTTCTTCTAAAAACAACAGGAAATGATTGAAGTTTGTTTATCAAAAAGTAATGAAACATTTTCCCATTTTGGTGCAGACAAGATGAAGGTAAAGAAAATCCTCACATCTCCTTCTTCTATCTTTACTAACCTGTTTCTGTTTCTTCCCTTATGCCTCACTTTATTTTTAAATATCTCCATTTTCCTTTTCGTCAGACATCACCCTTTCTCTGTGTTCACGACCTTGGGACAATCTGCCATCTGTTTAGCTGAAACAACACCGCTCACAAAGGAGTTCCTCTCAGGCTATTTCAGAAACTCATGAACATTAATAGCTGCCAAAAATAGACTGTTGTGTCTGTGTGTGTGTGTGTGTGTGTGTGTGTGTGTGTGTGTGTGTGTGTGTGTGTGTGTGTGTGTGTAGTAGTGGTGATAATGAGATTTATAAATGATTCACCTGGAGAGAAAGAGAGAAAGATTAAGATTAAGTCCCCCTCTTTTTCATCCAAATCCATCCCACATTTATAGGAATTGATAGAAAATGTGAATGACTGCTTGTTTCCATTCATGTGATAATTAGAAGTATTTGCATTTCCAATCAGTCTGCAAATGTCCACTGATGGAGAAGTCAACCAAACATATATGATAAAAGTACTTATTTCAAGCCAAACCATAATGTTTAACTCAACTTAAAGGTGGGGTAGGCAATTCACTTCAGAAACACTTTTTGTTACATTCCATGGAATGCTCTTAACATCCCGATAGCAATGAATACATTAAATGCTTTGACAATAAATACATTAAAAAATGTCATCTGTGGAAGCCGTAATACTGTGAAAAGCACGACCAATCATCTGAGCCGGCCCGGCTAAAGTAACTGGATGGCCTACCTGCCTGTCAGCCTTCCATCTGTGCACAAACTTATCTCGTGCCCTCATTGGTCATGTGCGCGTTTGTGTGTGTTGGAGGAGGGGCTCTGTAAGGAAGTGGCAGATTTTCTCCGGTTGTGTACTTTCAAATTCTAGCACACTCAAGCTGGTTTCTCCAAAATTACCTACCCTACCTTTAAGTAAGTAATTGTGTTACATATTGATAACTATGTGTTTAACTGTAATTAAAGGGGCCCTATAATGCTTTTTGGGGCTAAAAGGATAAAATGGCCTGCGCTCCAACACATTGTACGTGATAGGCTAAGGGGCAGGACATCTCTAAGCAGTTGACCAATCACAACAGAGTCGGCCAGCCAACCAATCAGAGCAGACTGGGCTCTGGTTTCAGACAGAGGGTGAAAAGAGGTGCTGCAGCACAGGCAGTAAGAGACAAATAAAGTGCTTTTTGAACATTAAAGCATGGAGACATGTCCCAGTAGAGACACTACATACTGATATACACCTGAACATCAGCAGGAGAGGACTCTTTAAAGTAGAGACACTACATACTGATATACACCTGAACATCAGCAGGAGAGGACTCTTTAAAGTAGAGACACTACATACTGATATACACCTGAACATCAGCAGGAGAGGACTCTTTAAAGTAGAGACACTACATACTGATATACACCTGAACATCAGCAGGAGAGGACTCTTTAAAGTAGAGACACTACATACTGATATACACCTGAACATCAGCAGGAGAGGACTCTTTAAAGTAGAGACACTACATACTGATATACACCTGAACATCAGCAGGAGAGGACTCTTTAAAGTAGAGACACTACATACTGATATACACCTGAACATCAGCAGGAGAGGACTCTTTAAAGTAGAGACACTACATACTGATATACACCTGAACATCAGCAGGAGAGGACTCTTTAAAGTAGACACACTACATACTGATATACACCTGAACATCAGCAGGAGAGGACTCTTTAAAGTAGAGACACTACATACTGATATACACCTGAACATCAGCAGGACAGGACTCTTTAAAGTAGAGACACTACATACTGATATACACCTGAACATCAGCAGGAGAGGACTCTTTAAAGTAGAGACACTACATACTGATATACAC